AGGAAAATGGTTTAATAAGTAACATTACATCACAAAACAACAAAAAATAATCATTAACACAAAAATTAAAGAAACAAATAACAAAAGAAGAAGAAACAAACAAAAGGCCAAGTGAATAAAGAAAAAGCACAGATACAAATAAAATTAAATAACAATATCCAGCTTTTTGGCTTTTACCTGCATTTCATTATGTACCTCTTCTGTACTAACAGATATTTCTGGATACATATACAAAAGGGACAAGCCATTTAGTATGTCCTCACTTAAGGTGTTACGTAGGTAGGACTTTAATAATTTTAGGGTTGAAAATTTCCTTTCAGGTGTTGCCGTACAAACTTGTAGTTAAGTGCAAAATTTTTTTAATAAAATAAATATGTTAGGAAATAGTTCTTGGTCACATATTACCAGGGCATCGAGTGCGGAACTTGGGTAGTCTTCTGGTGTATAGTCTTCAAATATTCTATGCCAGAGCTTAAATTTAGCCGAAACTACAGAAAATGAATAGTTTTCTAAGTCACTTTTATAAAAATCTAGCATATATTTTAGATTCGATACTCATTATTGGATTTTTTATTTAAGGCGGGAAAAAGAGAGCTAAATGACCGTAGTATGTCTTTGTGTTTAACAAACCGATCTTCCAAATGTCATACTACGTGATCTTAAAAAGAAATACAGATTGAAAATCTGTAATAATCTTGAGCAGTTTCAGTTTTAAAATTGGCCTGTTTTTTGTCCACTAGTTATTCGTTTTTTATTTCCTGTCCAAACAATAATTCGTTCATGTTTCTGTTTGCTTCCTCAAAAATATCTGCGAAGCTGGTATTTAAATTATTGTTTAAAATATAAAGTGGACAGGCGCGCGTCGTGTCTGGAGGGGGCAATTGCCCCCTTTACCCCCCTCCCCCCTTCCCCCTTGGATACGCCATGGCTCTCAGCGAGTTATGTAGCCAGCCTGGTTGACCCAGGCAGAAGAGGAAACGGTAGCTTATGTAGTCTCTTGGGTCTAGAGGTAGGCTCCCAACCTTTACTAGAGGACATAGGAGGTGGTAGCTTGTGTCTCACTTGTGAAGGCTGGTCTCGCGCAAATTTTAGCTGCCATGCTATCATGTGAGGTAAATATTTCAGTTAACGTCTCATTTTTTCTGCCGGGGCTAATCTGGACGGGGCCTACTTTGTTTACGCGGAATCCGAACCGCGGTCCTCGGCCATATCATGGTCAATGGCCTACCGACTTAGGAAGTGTCTAAATCAACTCTTACTCACGAGATATCCGATCTCACCCGGCCTCGAACCGGCGTGAATGAGCAGTGTGTATCAATAGATTTTACACTTTTCCCTTGAACAACAGAGCACGATACAGAGTTTCGAACCGGTCACCCGTCCATCCACCAGTATCGCCTTACGTCGCTTAACTTCGGTGTTCTAATGGGAACCGGTGTTTCAACGTAGCTAGGCCGTTGCTTGCTGTCATGTGGTTGGTTCCTTTGGTGTTTGTCCCTTGGAACTTGTATTGTTAATGTTCTCACTGTTGTTAGGGGGTTGGAGACGAGAATACAATGGATTGCCCCCTGGTGCCCTCAAGTTGAGACCATTAGAGGCTAGTCTTCTATCTAGCAACCCTATGACCTGGTCCCGATGGCGATGACGAACATGGTACTGCGATAACAAACTTCATAAGACTTCAAAAGCTTCAATTCTCATTTCAGTTGTCTCTGTGGGTCTCCTCGATTCCACGATATAGATGGAGAAGATGTAATCTGAGCACTCGAACTTTGTTTTTTTATTTTGAGATTACACTATACGCATTTTATTGAAAGTTGTTCTTGCTTTTCCATTTCGAGATTTCACTTCATCTGAGTTAGTTACAATGTTTCATCTGTTATGGCCAATTATGTGACTATAGCTTCCATTTAAAAAATGTATCTTTATGCTATACGTTTAAGTTACATTTAATTTCATCTATATTGATACAAACTTATTTTTAATTCGACCGACTAATTATTAATGAAAGCAAGTTTATTAAATACATTCTTTTGATTTCGTTCATCAGGATACTGGTTTTTATAGACTAAAGTTTATTAGGGATAATTAGGTGTGATATTTTAACGATAATTTAATTAAATTCAGGTTTTTATAAGGCATAATTGATTTAAAAACGCTGTTTATAACACTTCTTTAATTTTATAATTATATATTTACAATCTGTGTTTCAAACATTTCCTTAAATAGTTTAGATTTTTTGTTTGGATAGGATAACATTTCCTCATGAGTTTTTTTACTGTTGTGGGTTGTACTCGTGCAAAATACAGGAATCGAAGGTGTGTTGGATGATTCCCATTCCAGGTTACGGATGGAATCTTCTAGGTCCTTGAGTTCCGTTTTAAGTTGGATTCCACTTGGAAAGCCGAACTGTTCCGGTCCAGTTCGTGGAGTGTTCGCTCCTTTTCTAGCTAGATCGTTTCATTCGTCATTGCCTTCTATCTCTTGATGAGCTGGCACCGAGAGTAGGAGGACTTTATTTTCATTGCCTAATTTGTTCAGCTATGCAATTGATGGTTACTGAGTTGATCGCTTTTAATGCTGCTTGACTATCGATAAGATGGCTATTTGCTGTGTTCGATAGTTCCTATATAAGATAAATTGTACGATATAGATAGAGAAGAACGAACAACTGAATTTCGATAACGTAGATTTCTGCCTGAAGGATGCTGGGGTAGATTCCCATTGGTGCCCATTTTAAAACTAACTGAACACTGTTTTTTCGGTTATACGGTACTTTAATCTATAACATGGTGTGATCTAACAAATATAAATCTCTGTATGAAAAAAAGACTTAGTTAATTAACCTCATCATAAAAGGAGGACATTTGCGATTTCGTTGCGTACCATTACGATTTTTATGTCGTGTTATGTAAAACTTTGTGCATCGTTGTCCTTAATAAATATTTTACTGTGGTTTTGTTGTGAAATAGTTTTCACTGGGCAAACTACACTACTATTCTTTAAAGGCTGTAATCATACAGGGTATTGGATTGTTTGTCTCGTACTCAGGGTCGTGAACTTACGAAGGCGATAACCTTCGTGCTGAAGGCCTGGCCAACCACCTGTAAACCATAACGCGTTCCCAGACGACGAACAGCGAACAAATAGGGTTGACGAACTCCTGGAAACAATAATCTTTCGAATGGGTCTCTAGATATAGATACCCAAAGATATAAAAAAATTGCTAATAATAAGTATAGATATTCTTATAGTTAATTGCAACAATAGGCAAATTTAAATTAATCATTAGATTCACAATCTTTTCTGCTTTTAGCTTCTGCAACTTAGGCTTTTATTTACGAAATGTATCAATGAATGAATATCTTCTTAATCTTCTTCTGTCGGTCGTACATATTATGTAGTTAGTGCTTTAGAATCTATTGATATATTTCTAAAAACATTTTTTAAATATTTGTTTTTTCATCAGTCCATTAATCGATATCAACTCGGTATGCAAAAATATTAACAAATAACCAATTATGTATTCATCGCGTAATTGATTTGTTTAAAATTAAACGGGATAATCTTTATGTATTACACAATAAATGTGTATCATATATTGTATGAAAATACTATCAAATATTACACAGGATCGCTTTTATGTATGGAAACGGTCGATTATTAGGTAAAATAGAGGAGGTACCGCAAAAAGTTAAATATAAAAGTTATAGGGTTTTTAAATGTCTATTAGCGATTAATAAATTTAAGTATAGATGGTCGTTCAGTGGTAGCACATCAAAGTTTTATTTATTTTTTTAAATAGAACACCCTATATATTATTACATATTTCAATTCTTCCTTCAATTCTAAGCAAAAATCGAAATACACACAATGTACTTCAAACCAACCATTTCCGAGTTATTGACTTTTGAAAATATCACTTAAACAATTCGATTTAATTAATTTCGATGTATTTGGTTTGATTTAATGATGCTATTCTGCCGAAACTGTGATACTGTTGTAATGGGTTTTTAAATTCCTATTAGCCACTATTAAATTTATAAGTATACAGGGTAGGTTGTAAAGTTGTGTCACATCAAAATAAAGTTTGATGATCAAACTTTTTTTTTTAAATGAAACCCCCCGTATATTATTGCATATTTTAATTCTTCCTTCAATTTTAAGCAATAATCGTAATACACAATGTACATAAATTGAAGAATTGAAAGGTTAAACAAAAATTTTGTAATTTCCAGACTTGATATTGATATACATTGATCTCATTTTATACATCTATGAATGCTAACTTGAGAACTAATGTCAAATATTATTACGTATCACAGTTTCGGCAGAATGGCATCGTTAAATCAAACCAAACACATCGAAATTAATTAAGTCAAATTGTTTATATTTTCAATAGTCAATAACTCGGAAAGGGTTGGTTTGAGGTACATTGTGTGTATTTCGATTTTTGCTTAGAATTGAAGGAAGAACCGAAGTATGCAATAATATACAGGGGGTTCCATTTAAAAAAATGAAACTTTGATGTGCCACGACTTTGTGACCGACCCTGTATACTTAAATTTATTATCCGCTAATAGATATTTATAAACACTATAACTTTTTTATTTAACTTTTTGCGGTACCTCCTATATTTTACCTAATAATCGACCGTTTCCATACATAACAGCGACCCTGTATGTAGTATCACAGTAAACAATATTCCCATTTTTTCTTTTGTTCTCTGCTCTTTAGAACTAACTATCAAATTATCAATCCCGAAAACGAAATCATTTTATAATAATATTAATAATAATTTAATAAATTCAATATTTACATAGTTTTCTGATAATGTTGAACAAATAATAGTACAAAGCAAATTTAAAACAAAGCTAATGGTTAATTGCGGAGGTCAGTACATTTTACACTCGTTAACATATTTAACTATATGAAACAGTTCTGGACAGTAGTAATAGTCGGAATAATTTTAAATGTTTACAACTTTCTTTATTTTCCAGATCTAGACTCGGGGAGAGGATGATCAGTATGAACTCCACTTTGGTAGAGATGGTCAATATTAATTATGAAGACTTTAACGAAAGCTTCCTTACCTGCGGCACGTGCTTATGTAAGTATTTGAACATCTAATAAAGGTGCATTGTAAATAAGAATATTTTAAATGATACCATAATGATCATAAATGAAAATAAATTGGGGAAGGTTGTTGACAATGACAATTTTTTCACAATTAAGGATGTATTCCGTTGCTTACCTTGGTTATGGTTTTATGTTCCGTTTCTATCGGTTTCCTGAAAGTTTTCTTATGACGGAACACGGTTCTGTGCACGGTTCCTGAAAAAATCGGTTATATAATTGTCACCAAACTAACCAGCGCGAGTAGGCTGGTTTTTCTGGTTTTGTTTGTCACTCGATGTCATTTATGTGACAGAAATCAAGCAAATATTGGAAGTTCGAGTGAAATTCTCATTTAATTTCTAAAATTTGTAATAATATTTTATATTTACATCCAAAAGCAATGGAGGTAGGCAGTAAAGGTAAATAAATTTCATTAACTAAATATAATCACTTTTTAGGACCATTTAAACTTATCAGGGAACCATTGTTTCTTAAAGTCAGGAACATTATTTAAAGAAAACATGAAAAACAAGACAAGTAATCGTGAATGTTTTGTAAGTTATAAAAATATAAATATCGTTTAGATTTGTTTATTTATTATTGATCTGTTTTAATATTGGACCTGCAAATCTTCACTTGAGCTGTCTAACGAATTTAACAGTTTATAAATAAAGTACTTTTCAATATTAAACACCATTGAAAAGAAGAAGCAAACGTAAAAGCAGAGAATAGGTACATTAAAAATGCATAAAAGATAAATTTTATAATAGAGGTATTGAAATTTAGAAAACGTCAACATTTGACGTTTCCAATATTTTACCAAACTGTTCCGTATCAAACCGATGTTTTTCAGGAACCGGTTTTTACCGTAGTTATCGGTCTGGTTCGCCTGGCTTTGCAACGGAATACAGCCTAAATTCCAACTGTCATTTTTTGTTTCCATTTTAGTGTTAAGGGCGTGACATGGAGAGGCGGGGTATATACCCCGCCGCAACGATAATATTATCGTTGCGGCTTTTACACTTGAAAGCTGAGCAAATCACCAATGTTATAAAGTTTATACAAATTTTATTAGACAACAACCTATTAAAAATCGCTAAAATTGTGGCTGGTGACGCATCCGTTCCTCCAAAAAAATGGCGTCTAACAACACAAATTCTTCTTCAGCCCGTATATGGGTGTTACGTGTCCTTGTATTCTTTATTAGTCATTGGTCTGAAACGAATCACTGAACTGAAATCGAATCATTATTTTATCAGCATTTTATTTTGTGTGGTTGAAGTCATGTTAAAGGTATGGTATACTTAGTGCGTCTCAAAAGTGGCTCACCCCTTACATAACTTTTTATTTTTTCAGATAAAACGAGATTTGGTATGTTAATATATGACATAAATTGGGATTGATTGACGTATTCAATTGTTTTTAGTCACTTCCTGTTTCACCGGAAATTACTACAACTTTTGATGTTCAAATGACATCCTCGGAATTTTTTTACTTTATTCGATAGAAAATAGCACTCTGAATAGAATGACATACTTTTGATATTTTCTCATATGGTTTATTTGAAATTGTAACATGCGATTCATAACGATAATAATTTGACTTGAAATACCAAGTGTGTGGTACCAAATTATTCGTAAAAAAATTATCTTTCCAAATATGCTAATGAGCCACCCTCGTTCCATTTGAAAAAACTGAGATATGATTAAAAATACGATTTGTGCATCTTTTAACCGTCCAGGACAAGACACGAAAAACATTAGACGATCAAATCTATTTTTCCAAGGCTCCTTGAATAAAAATTAGTGTTCTTAAAACAACCATGACACTCTAGATTGAAATTTAAAATACCATTGTTTTAAAGCGAAAATGTCAAAAGTTGACATATGATATGTCAATCTATGCAGATTGTCATTTTCTATCGAATAAAGTAAAAAAATAAGGAGGGTGCTATTTAAAAATTAAAAGTTGTAGTCATTTCCGGTAAAACAGGAAGTGACCAAAAACAATTGAAAAATCAATACCAATTTACGTCATATAGTAACATACCAAATCTCGTTTTTTATATGAATAAATAAAAAAGTTATAGGGGTGAGCGACTTTTGAGACGCACCCAGTATACCATACCTTCAACATGACTTCAACCACACAAAATAAAATGCTGATAAAATAATGATTCGATTTCAGTGAACTATCCGGACCAATGACTAATAAAGAATACAAGGACACGTAACATCCATATACGGGCTGAAGATGAATTTGTGTTGTTAGACGCCATTTTTTTGGAGGAACAGATGCGTCACCAGCCACAATTTTAGCGATTTTTAATAGGTTATTGTCTAATAAAATTTGTTTAAATTTTATAACATTGATTTGCGCAGTTTTCCATTCCAACCATTCCAAAAAAATTAAATATCCGCTAGCATGGAGTACTAAAAAGTTACTATTCGCAGTACTAATTTAAAAAAATCTGTAACTATACCGGGTGCGTCTTAAAAGTAGCTCACCCCTATAACTTTTTTATTTTTTCAGTTAAAAAAACGAGATTTGGTATGTTATTATATGACATAAATTAGGATTGATGGACGTGGTCAAATGTTTTAAATGTTTTACCGGAAATGACTACAACTTTTGATTTTTAAATGGCACCCTCTATATTTTTTTTACTTTATTCAATTGAAAATAACACTCTGGATAGAATGACATATCATATGTCAACTTTTGACATTTTCGCATACGGCTTACTTGAAATTATAACTTACGGTTCATAACGAAAATTTGACTCTAAATACCAAGTGTGTGGGATTTTGAGTTTATCTAAATTGAGTTATGATTAAAAATACGATTTCAGCATTTTTTAACCGGCCAGGACGAGACACTAAAAACAGTAGACGATCAAATCTATTTCTCCAAGGCTCCTTGATTAAGAATTAGTGTTTTTAACAAAGCCATGGCACTCTAGATTTCTAGAGAAATTTAAAATACGATTTTTTAATAAGCGAGAATGTCAAAAGATGACATATGATATGCCATTCTATTCAGAATGTCATTTTCTATCGAATAAAGTAAAAAAATTACGAGGGTGCCATTTAAAAATCAAAAGTTGTAGTCATTTCCGGTGAAACAGGAAGTGACCAAAAACAATTGAATACGTCAATCAATCCTAATTTGTCATATACTAACATACCAAATCTCGTTTTTTTAACTGATAAAATAAAAAAGTTAGGTTAGGTTAGGGGTGAGCCACTTTTGAGACGCACGCGGTAGGTAGATATATTTGACGGACAGGGGTTACAAATTTTCGGACCAAAAAGATGGAAACAGTATGCCCAATGAGAGCGCCGTTGGATGGTCGTGTCAGCGGATGACGGATGCATGAAAATCCGCCTTATTTCATGTAATTTATTCAACCGTTGTAGAACAGTGCATTTTTTATACTCAAGTTTTACATTAGCATCGTTTCTTATATGCATAATTTTACTTTTGTATCATTTTTAAATATTCCAATTAAACTATTTAATTTATTACCTTTCTTTTCCGTTGATTTCGCATTTCCTTCTTGAAATGTTACGAATATCATCGTAATATTTTGTTTTCGTGTACCTATATTCTTAATATTGAGCGTGAGAAGATATAAATTCCGTCGAAGGTACAACTTTCTATAATAAATAAACAAAACTACTTAATTCAAAAAGAATAAAAGTTGATAAAAGTAAAAGAGATTGTATATGTATTTGTAAAAATACTGAAATTACTACAAAATTATACTTTATGTATAGTAAGTCATGGATATAAATTGTATATCATTAATAAGACTCTTTTTTCTTAGTTCGGAGAATATAGTGATGGCATTTATTCTCATATTCCAGTTTATTATTATTTTTTTAAGAAATTTAGTGACAGCAACACTTTAATAATAATAAGTCAATCTCGGTTTAATACTGAAATAATGATTTTCCAATTTCCTTGTGGTATTTCTAAGTTAATGGAGTTGCTATTTAACTAAATGAAATGGCCTGAATTATTTCTCATTTCTATCTAATTTCTTGTTCAAAAATCTATAAATTTATCAGATTACATTATAATATGCACGGTGGTCCGAATTGTATTCCGGAAACTTTGGCAGCATATTCTGCATATGAAAATAAGTTAAAAAGTTCGTATAAATGTATGTAGATACAAGGTGGCGAAGTTTCATTTTTATTTCGATTTTTTCCAAATAGTTTCTGAAGTAACGTCAATATATTTACATGAAAATTACTGCTTGGGAGTTTTTTGACATGAGAAATTTGATTTTGATGTCAATATGACTCCTATTTGTAGGTAGTGCCACCTACATGTATTTTAACTGTTTTGAAAAGTAATAACTTTTTGTCCGTACCTGTATAAAACTACTGAGTGAAAAAATATACATTTCCATGATTTTTAACGTAAAAAATGTCTCTTGGTATTATAAAAATCGCTACGTTCTCAAGATATTTAGAATGGAAACAGTCAATACATATCATTATTGACTAAAAATAAACATGTTGAGTAGATAGTTATTTCACTAAAAATATAAATTTGGGAACTTTTTATTTTTTTTAAATTAATCATAAATTTTTCTTTGCAAAAATGATGATAAAACAGTTTCTGTTGAACTCAACACAAAACATTTCAAGTTTATGATTTCAGTCTAATAGCTATTATTAGTAAAGTAGCAACTTTAGAAAACAAATTATTTTGTTTAATTGGCTAAGAAAAAATGGATAAGTGAAATGTTTTGCATTAGAAATAATGGTAGTCACTTTGAACGCATTTTAAATAATACATATAAATCTATTGTAATATTACAATAATTTACCTAAAAGGGAAATTAAAACAACTTTGGGTGCACGTCATCAATGACACCATGCGTCGTCTTATGGAGTTTGCTGGTGGTCGTATTATGATGTGCAACCAAAGTTATTTTAATTTCCCTTTTACTTAGTATTATAAAAATAAGTATTTTTTCATACAACTTTCACATTAGAGCTCATTTTTTTTAGACAAACCTAATATTGGTCAAATTTAAGAAAATCTGCATTTTCTTAAGTTTTCTCATATTAAATGTTTTTATAGACTTCTTATATTTGTTTTCATTTTTGATCATATGGTACAATTAAAAAAGCGCTATATCTTACAAAGTTAATTATTAAATTAATATGCCATGTTTAATATTTTTATTTAGGGAATACTATAAAAAAGCTAAATATGTTTGCCAATAGTTTTAGAACTATTGTAACAGCATTCTATTTTTACTAAAGTCTGTCGAACTAGTCAAGGAAGGTGTCCAAAAATAACAGAAAATACAATTTAATTACTGTGAATTAAAGTGACAACCAACAGCTGTCACTCTCATATATACTTTCGTTGGACAGACTATAGTTTCTTTTATAATATACCAGTCGTTATAATATAATTGTATCTACATATTATTAAATTATTTTTTATTACATAATATATCGTAGTTATGTAGATGTATAAGTATATAGGCATCCTCTAAACTAGTATGTTATTTTTTTGTTTTTGTAATTTTTATGTTGAAAATTTTATTTATTGCCTTAACAAAACTGATTTATATTCGTTTTTTCTATAGATATTATATTCTTATACTTGTACATATAAAAAAATAAAATTTTCAACAGCACCACTAAAACCGCAATCTCAGAATCAATTTTTGTAAAATGGTTTTGTTTTGTTGTTACAGATAGCGTTTGGAGCGGTGCGTTATTATTTATTTTATCTAAATTTTAAATTCTAACATAGGTTTAGTATTCATTTTACAGCTTTTTAATTTTGAATAACATTTCATACTATTCTTTCATGTCATTTGTGGGTGTTTTATACGTATGTATCATCTGCTCTTAACTTTTAATAACTGATGCAGTCGTGAATATTTTCAAACTTATCAGAATTTAGAATAATCCGTTCATAAATATATTTTAGAGTATATCCTAGGGAATGGTATTGGTGTGGTGTTATTATCAATATTATATTTTGTATATCAGACTATAGATTTTAAATAAAATTTAAAATCTATACTCTGGTCATTGAAAGGATACTTGATAGTGACAGTTATGTCTCATTTGTATTCACATATAGATTGTATTTTCTTCCCTGGTTCGCTTGACAGACTATCCCTGTTTACAATGTTTACATAAAGGATACAGGGTCCGGCAATAGAGCGTCGGGCATCTATAGTTCCTATAATAAAACATTTAGGAATGACAAAGAGAAGTCTTTAGAACAAACCTAGAGTATGTATTAGAATGTATATCTGGAAAATATTTTAAGTTCTACTGGGTGGCTCAAAAAAGTGTGAGTTGATCGGGATGATTTTTTTTAAATGGAACACTCTGTATATTATTGCATTTTGACTTCCTTTCTGATCAATCCTAAGATATTTTAATATCTTTTGATATTTTTAATATCTATTAAAAAATCATTTTTTAATTATTATTAAAAATAGAAGAAATGTTCTAAAATCAAAACTATACTAGATATTTACTATAGTTCTGTACTTACTTTGCTATACGGACTATAGGTCTGTACTTACTTGGCTATAAATTTCGTAATCTTAAAACTTAAAATGCTTAAACGATGTGCAGGATGTTAAAACTGGGTGTTAAATCAGGGTGTTAAACCATATATGCCAAACTTTCTAACATATAAAATAGTTTTTCTTTGTTTTTTTTAATGTAATGTCCTATATATTATTTCTTTGTTTGATGAAGAATTAGAAAATAGTAATTTTCTGTGTTTAAAGTATTTTAAAAAATTTAGCGGTTTCCCAGATATTTCGCACATAATATGGCTTTTTGAACGGTAAAATACCGGACAAAAATCATTAGGTGGCTTTGGCAAAAATTACTGTTGAAAAACTCATATGTACTATAATACCACAAACATCCGTAAAATTTTAAGATACTTTTAACCATTTAAAAAGACGAAGAAACCCTTTTATATATTAGAAAGTTTAACATAGAATTTTGAGCACCCTGTATGTTTTAAGATTACGATATATAGCAAAGTAAGTACAAACCAACTACAGTAATTACCTGGTATAGTTTTGATTTCAGGACATTTCTTGTATTTTTATTCATTTTTTAATATCTCTGAACCTATCAAAACACATTTAAAAATATCTAAGGATTATGTTGTAAAGTAATCAGAAAGGAAGTCAAAAATGCAATAATATACAGGGTGTTTTTGAGCCACCCTATAAAACTTGTAAAAAAATGTTTTCCTGAAATACATCCCAATACAAACTTCAGGTTTGCACTTAAACAAAATTCCTAAGTTTTTTTGTTATAGGAGCTACAAATGCCCAACACACTATTGCCGGGCCCTGTGCAATAAACATTTTAATGTTTAATGTTCTGTAAATGATCAAAGTGAGAATCATTTTAATACTAATTTTTGGGTAGAAAACATCATTCAAACTTATATCTCTAAATTATGTGTGCCACCAATATTAGTGTTATAAATAACTTCTCGATAAACAATGGGCGATTTTCTTCTTGCTATTGTAACAACTTTGAAAATATTCATATTCATAATTTTCTACACCATTTTCTTGCAATGTAATCATTTCTTCTTTCACATTCTGCTACTGCATCACACTATTCCAAATGTGTTTTCTGAAATGTCTTTGTCATATCCTATTGCAGGTATGTATGATGGCAGCGAACACACTCCAAAATTGCTTCAGTGTTCACATACGGTCTGCTTGCATTGCCTCACGCGAATTGCCGCGTCCCAAACACGGGACACGGGATCTTTTCGATGTCCGATTTGCAGAGAGTTGATTACTATTCCCAGAGGTGGTGTCAGCGCATTGCCGCCGTCTTTTTTAGTCAATCAGCTGTTGGATCTGATGTCCAGGCAAAGGAGAGAGGTAATACTGTTAACGGTGGAAGTACTCTACTCGTAGTTTTAATTATTAAAGAATACAAGTGTCACAGATAAAGTGCGCTTCATAAGGAACTTTATTTTATTTATTGATTTAGGGTTGATTGAAAGAATTGGACAGATACGAAACCTAATGGGCAAATTCGTGACAAGGCCGGTTTGATTTCCGCTTACGTCTCAAGTGCTGTACGGTGGAGCCACTACTCGTTCTGCGGCTAACGCATAAAACATTTATTTTCTCTAATTCGGCTAGCGAAGACATACCGATGACGGTGTGGAACTGAAAGCGACAGTGTTGTCATATTAAAATGTGTAATATCTGTAATATGTTTGACGAAATATCTTTGGATGAAAAATCCGCGTTTATGTATTGAAAATGTATTCTTGTTAAACATAGAATAAACAACAAAAATAAAAATTCTTTTATAGGTACTCAATATTTCGTATGATCGAAAAAAGTCGTTTAGTTGGCTTGGAAATGACGAACTATTGACATTTACCAGAATATTTTACATATGAAATAACAGCGATCTTCATGATAGAAAATCCGTATTATTACCGTACTGTACCCGTAAATCTACGGATTACTCTGTAGGTTTGGCAACACTGTCACCGACAACCACTCACTCTGTTGACTGAAAGCAGAACTACGGTACAGTATTCTTTATCTGCTGCGCTCTAAACGGCAAAATCGCGCAGCGGCGCAGAGCTAAACTAAATCTGGGACAGGTTGACTAGCGGCGACGGTATCGCCCAAGAACGGTAAACTAATAGGATTGCTCATCCTCATAAGACGTACGTTCGCCTCTTCCCGCGCTTCAGCTGACAGTTGTGACGTCATTGTAGTCCTTGTCAAAGTCTTGTCATGATAGTATGTATTATTAGTTGCCTATGGTAAACTTATAAAAATAACAGCTGAGAAATTTTGAGTTAATTATTTTGTCAATTTTAAATGTGAAAAAGGTGTCTTTAAAGTTTTTAGAGCTATAGAGTGTATAAATACGTTCATTTTGTGTTGTGGATTGTGACAAAGTGCTTACTAAGTGCCCACGATTTTGTTTATTAACTTTAAAATTATTTTAAAGCAAAATATGGAAGTACTCTAAAAAGAATGCTTGCAAAAGGTGATGCTGGGAACTGCTGTTCTTAAAAATGCCTTATCCGAGTATTTAATACGATTTATATACTTAATTTTCTATACTGCATACATATAAGGTGTTTAAATAAATAAACTAAATAATGAACGTTTTGCATTCGGCAACCAATAATGCACGTGCGTGTATTATTGGTTGCCGGATAAGGACTAATAACTATGACAAGGACTACAATGACGTCACAAAGCGAGTAGTTTTCGCATGCACCTGGCGGACACTTGGCTGAATGATCAGTCCTATTAGGTTAACTGTTCTTGGGTATCGCCAGCTACATCTCGGAGAGGTTTTGCGCCTCGAAATCGCCCATAAGGTTGCGCATCTTCTTATTTCTTCAATCAACGGATTTAGGTGAAATTTAACTTCGACAATAGTTTCTACTTTATAGTAAAAATGACATCAGAAAATTTCGCCTGTTGCGCTCGGGTATGTGTCAAACTTGACATTTTAAGTTATAAATATATATGGTAAAAAAGTAATAATGTCGATTTTTTTTTATTTTATATAAATATGCCAATGTTCAGCCATCTACAATAGATGAAACAAAAATTTTCGTAATTTTTAACCAATAGCAGCCGATTCTCGGGAAAGAAGCAAAAATTACGGATGGGAGCCGTTTGTCAGTCAGATACCTATCTGGTAATATATTTAGTTAAATTTTTTGAATTTATTTAAAAAACTTAACTAAACCTCTCTTTTTTTTAAATGTGTAGTTTTTTTACGAAAAGTTAAAGATTGTTGTTAAAAAATGAATTGGCTTGCGTAATGCAAACTATGAAATATATAAAAATAATATCATTCCTGTACATTTTCTCTCTCTAATTACTCAACTTAAGTTTAGATTTTCTTTAAAAACCACACACAGGCCCGCTAGAGACCATTCAGGGGCAATGTCTAAACAAAACAATACTATAAGTATGCTATGAGAAATACACTTTTGACATTTAGTATTGTGCAAATAAGTTTCAAGCATGTCCAAATACGAATTTCATGATGCCATCTCGATAAATCGGGAAGTTATTCATAATTTGCATCTTCTTCTTACAGTGCCATACTCTATATAGAGCGTCGGCTACCTCTCGCATGTACTTGCAATGTGTGTCATCAGCTGTACAAGGCAAATATACTCAAGTTGGTTTACCATTGGTTTCCTTGAGGTAGCGGCTCGTTGGTCGCTCTGTTTAGATAAATAAATATTTTTATTTAAATAAATAAAGCTACCGTACTGGCTGGGGATCGAACCCAGTACCTTCCGCTCCGCAGATCGACACACTAACCCTGGAGCTACGGCCGGCCACTACTACTACTACTTTGCATCACTTTAGTCTAATTTTTTACAACTAAATTTATTTTTCTCTGAATATTATTAATTGATTTAATAAATACAACTAAATATAAGACCAGTAGATAAATATTTGACAGTCAGAATAAGACCAACTTATATATTTGCTTTACCACAAGAATCGGCTGGTGAAAAATAACGAAATTTTATTTTTCATCTAGATGGTTGAAAATTAGTGTACTTATGTAAAATTAAAAAGCTTTTTCAAATATTTTTTTTCAAAATTCAGCAAATAAAATCGTTTTTCAACCATTTCTTTTTTAAATGTCAAATTTGACAGATACCCTATAGCAACAGCGTAAATTTTATTACGTCATTTTTAATCTCTTTAAAGCAAAAACTAACGCCAAAGTAAAATTTGACCTAAATCTATAAATAAAGTAAAATCCCAGATGATGCAGACTTTTTCTATGACTGTATATCAAATTTTAGGTCATTCCAAAATGTTCTGTTCACATTAATGAAGAACTCCTGTTTTGTGAAACCTGTGATACAGTGTTCTGTACACAATGTACCGGCGGTTCGCACAATGATAGTACGAACAGTTGTGAACATACAATTATACCTTTTTCCATCGCTATAAAGAGAATGTCCGAAATACTCTTGTATAAAGCAAACGAATGTATATCAAAGGTGCTAAAACCGATAATATTTCATTAATTAATGCATTACTTAAATTTTGTCGTTTTAGTTATCGCAGGCTCAGGAGGGAGTGGCCTCAGAGTTGAATAAGTTAAATATTGCCAAAGATAAATGTATAGAGCAAATAGAGGCGACCTTCCAGCAAATTCAAGTAGCCATAGATCGCAGAAAGCAAGAGATGGTCGATCAAGTTAATCAAATGTGTAATGAAAAGAAACGAGTTTTGGACGAGCAACATGGGCTAATAGAAAATGAAAAAAATAAGGTATGTGTCATATTGAATACTATTGTGCTGATTTTGAGCTACTTTATAAAACCTGGTTGACACAGTCAAAGGGTACTTGGACCAAATCAACCGGATGTTTCCATTATAAATATACATACATATAGACATTGTGTCTATTATTGGCTATGCGAGCCCAAGTTATCCCTGCTAATTTCCTAATTTCATGGTCCATCTCAGGTTTGATCTTCTTCTCATGGGTACCATGCTATAATCTTTGTGGTCTATCTGTTGTCCTTTCTTCTTGCCAGGTGTCCTGCCCATTGCCATTTGAGGGATTTGACTCTGTGGATGATATCTATTACCTGGGTCTTTTGTCGTATCCACTCTATTCTTTTACGGTCTTCCTTGGTTATTCCCAGCATATTTCGTTCCATATATTTGCGTTCCATAGAACATTGTGCCACCAGGTTTCGCATGCATAGGTCATGACTGATAGTACACATTGGTCGAATGTTTTCTTCTTTAGATAGAGTGGCATTCTAGATTTGAATATGATTGAGTTTCTTCCATAAGTACTCCATGCTAACTTAATTCTTCTGTCGATTTCTGGTAGTAGATATCCCGAGCTGTGTATTAGTTGTCCCAAATATTTCTAAAAAAATGTCCAAAAATTCTTCTACTATTTTCAGTGTTATGATATTTATTAGAATGTCTTTTCTTTCCACTAGTTCGTTGTACATTACTTTAGTTTTTGCTAAATTTATTTTGAGACCCACTTTATTGCTGGCTGTATTTAGTTCATTAATTTGTGCTTGTAGTTCTTCAGGACTATTGGCAATTAGGACTATTTCAACAGCGAATCTTAGATGGTTAAGATATTCTCCATCTATTTTTTCATCCTTTGTTGGTCTAGTCCAGTTGACGGAAGATTTCTTCTAATGTTGCTGTGAACAGCTTTGGGGATATCGCGTCTCCCAGTCGTACTCCTTTGCCAGTTGAGAACTCTTGAGTTGTTTGATATATCATTACTCTTGCTTTGGCTTAGTTTGGTTTTGTATATATTGGCGAGAGTTTCTATATAAGGTCTGTCAATACCTTGTTTCGTTAAATAACAGTGGGCTCAACTATAAAGAGAGTATATGAGGGAGGCTACATCATAATTGGAAATGGCTGAATAAGCGGAAAATGATGATGATGCTGATATAAATGTTGCGCACATTTCACTATTATGCTATTTGTATGGTATCAACCATTTTAACAAAGTCGAGTTGGACGGCTTTGTAGCATCCAAGTAAATTGGAACGCAGCCTACTTACTTCGGTGATGTTAAAAAGTTTTCCAACTCAACTTTGATCACACAGTCAATACTTACAAGCAGCGTACAAGTGAGACGCGCGCAGCTAATGCTGCGCTCTGCTGTAATAATTAGAGTACAGTTATATGGCAGCATCAAAGCGTACTTGGTCCAAGTAACTTTGACCGTGCCATCCCGCCTTAATGGGTGTACATATATGCATAAGTTGTAAAGGCGAGTACACACCTAAGAAGCCTTGGCCAGCAGGTTTCCAAACGTTTACTAAAAATGCTTGTATTATAAACTTGATGTTAACATCGAAGCAGCATTCTATTTGAACCGTTTTTGCATTATTTTGGTTTAATCAGTGCAACAGCTAGCACACATTGTTTACTTTAAGGTTGAGCAAGAATGTCAGGGACTTCAGTATCAGGTGGAAGTTCGAAACATCACACAAAAAATCGAAATTCTCACTGAAAAGTTAGACACCGCATTTAGTCTAGGAGAGCCTAGGGAAAATTGTTTTCTCACATGTGATTTCAGTCTTAATGATAGTTTAGATCAGATACAACAGCATTTAGGTATTTTAGGTATGATTGTTCTTTTATGAAAATGAGAATAAAATTAGTAAGGCTTAATGTTTTTATTTAGGGAAGGTCAGGACCAGTACTACTTTTCCTAGTTTATGTACGGCGCAAATTGACGATAATATTATTGCTGGAATAGAGAGCTGCGTTACGCTTACGACTGTAGATTATCACGGAAATGCGAGAAAAACTGGTGGTGATCCAATTCAAGCTGAAGTTTCTCTGGTAAGTAGTCATATTCATTAATAAATAATTAAGTAGAGATGCAATTGAAACTGCGATTACTGCAACCTGCGATTGCGATTTTAACATTTAAATATTGTACTATTTAGGTATATAATCGTCTATGTATGTGTATATAGCTTAACAGTTCAAAAAAATTAATAATAATCAGTAGTTTAGTTTTTAAGATCTTTTTAACATCTGCAACACATTATAGATATTAAAACTTTAGATATGCTGCAACTGCTGCACACTGCTGCACACATACCTACTCTTCCTACGGTTCTCAATTATCTAATTCTTTATCCAATTCTTAAAAAATCTATTAACTACTAAAGAATTATTTTTTAAGATGGCTCACCCCTGACCTCTTCCTAAAAAATGCTTATTCTAAATATGCCAAGAGGTCACCCTCGTTCCATTTAAAAAAAATAAAATACGATTTGAGCATCTTTTAACTGGCCAGGAGAAGACACGACAATAGACGATCAATCTATTTTTCCTAGGCATCTTTAGTAAAAATTAGTGTTTTTAACACAGCCATGACATTCTAGATTTAAAATACGATTCTAGAAATTTAAAATACGATTTTTTAAGCGAAAATGTCAAAAGTTGCCATATGATATGCCATTCTATTCAGAGTATCATTTACTATTGAATAAAGTAAAAAAATACCGAGGGTGCCATTTAAACATCAAAGTTGTAGTCATTTTCGGTGAAACAGGAAGTGGCTAAAAACGACCGAATACGTCAATCAATCTAATTTATGTCATGTATTAACAAACCAAATCTCGTTTTTTATCAGAAAAAAATAAAAAAGTTACAGGGTAAACTACTCTTGAGAAACATCCGGTATATTATTGATCGTGGCCCTAGAAACTAATACCTTCTCTATAAACTATAGATAAATAATATCAGAGAGAAAATTCAATCGCAGTTTAGTATAAAATGCTTCAAATACTACCTTTATACAACTATCAGTAGTAGAATAAATAATAAATAACATAAAATAAGCTCCGTAAAGACTGACAAATCCACAAAATTTCAAATCAAATTCAAATGTGTCAAATGAATCGTCAAACAGAACTGTCAAGGATCCCCACCCTAGAGAGCTTTTTCCGCCCACCATGCATGAATATATGGATAGCATTATGCTCCTTCCTTAGTCTTCTTATTCAAAGTACTGGAGGGATCTGTAGGTTTAGTGCATTCTCCGCCGGTGCTGCCACCATCGGAGAATATCGTAAACAACCGTCTTAAGGAAATACGCGAGTTTAAGTAGCAAGTGCACGAAAATTTTGTTATATAGTTATTCTAAGAAATGTTAGAAGTTTTAAAAAGGTAAATATTTTGATAACTGCAGAAGGTCTTGAATCTTAAAGAACTTGTATTATAATGTATTATTCAAGCTAATAAAACATTTTAGATGAGTACAATTACGGTAGCGAGTATAGTTTTACACATCGGTTTTGATAGTGGGGACATAACTGGGGCTATTTGGGCTGCAACGAAATTTTTTAAAGATACATAATTATAATTTTAGATGTTCATAAAAAATGTAAGCACTAGTTGATTAAAAAAGTATACCACTAGTATTGATCACATTATATTTTATCTGCTCAAAGTATATGTGTATTTAATTTTCTGATTATGTAACGGGCATATTGTTTACTCACCTGTTTCGTCGAACTGCTGAATCTATTTTTGCTTTTGATCAAACTGGTGTGAAAATGCTGGGAAGTTGTATTGAATGTTATTGCATCCAACAACCATGCAATATCAGCCTTCTTTTCGTGTTAACATTTTTTCGGCAATTTTATTAACATTACAGTTTATCATTTGAAATTGTTACAACACATTGCGACGGACACCCAGTTCCAGTTTTTTCACTTAATTTTCACCACCGAAAAAGCGTTACATCACACAAACTTCCTAGGTATCAGAGAAGTTTATAGTTTCAATAACTACACTAGTCAGAACCAAAATACTTAAAGGCCTGCACTAAAGGCCTACTAAAAATACTTACCATAGCCTAGTACTCTATGACAGCCATGATTTCAATATTATTTCAATGCGATCAACATGAACGATAACCGGGACCGCCTGAAATAAAGTATCCGGACAGTTCTGATTTCTTCCGTACCGAGCGCTGGTGCCGGAATTTAATTAATAATTTTTAAAAAAAAAATGGTTGAAATGCACTGAGTCTATAGTTCTTCATTAATAAAGATGTGGATTTTAGATCTAGCAAGTTTTTACATAAAAATCAAATATTTGATACACTTTTGTGTTGGTATTTTTATACTGAAGTTCGTTCACTTTACATTTCTAACTTTTTTTGCTAGTGATTCAAAACTTATATTTTAAAGAAATAAAAAATGAAGATTTGAAAAAAATAAACTAATTAGAAATGTTACATAAACATAAACGAATAAGAAAGCAATTTGTCCCCCTAAAAATAGTATACATCTGGTTACTTCGTACAGCCCGCATTTTTCTGTTATATTCTTGTAGTTCCACATTTCTTTTTAACCGGAAACAATATAAGAAATGCTTTTTGAGAGACCAATTCTAATAAAGGCTTCTGATTCTATTTAGCATTTATTTAATACTACTTAATATCAGATTAATTAAGTATTTATTCCACAAAGTCATAGATATTATCTTACTTTACAGGTTACCGCCGATCAAAATATGGATAGCGTTTGTCCACTTAGAATTCACGACTGTGATGATGGTACTTATAAAATATTCTTTCGAGCGCGAAAAGCTGGAAGGTAATCAAATACAAATTAATTATTTCTATGACAAATTTCTAAATTCAATTGTTTTATTTTTATTTAGATATGGTGTTAAAATATCTGTGATCGATCGTCCCATTAAGGATAACCCTATGTACTTTGATGTATCAGAACACAATAATCCTATAGCGATTTACGGAACAAGAGGAAGCGGAAAAGTAAGAAATATTTATTTAACCATATTTACTATGCTATAATATTTACCGTAGCTTAACAATAATAATGTAGAATGTAGAATATTTAGGAAGGGTTTAATCGCCGCGACCTTACAGATCTATTGTGTGTTCCCCTTTCTTGAGTTATAATATTATATATATTATATGGGAACTAATCGTCATTTCCAAGCCAAATGGATGCCATTTTTTTGCGATCATATGGGATCACACATTTGAGAATTGCTTCGCCCATTTTTTACATGCCGTTTTTGATAGGATTATATTTTAGTAAACAAATTGTAACTTTCTTTTAGGACGAATTTAATCAACCCGTCGCTGTAGCTATAGATGAGAGAGATCAGACTATTTATGTATTAGATACAGGCAATTCCAGAATAAAAGTACTGAATGAGCAGTTTGAATTTTTAAAACATGTTACTAATGAAGGATTGTTGGGAAGAAGTTGTACGGGTGAGTAGAATTTAGCAGTTGAGGAACTTAGAAAAAAATAGATATATAATCTATATAATAGATTGTTTAATTTTTATTAAATAGTTTGTTCTTAATAGGAATAGCGATCTCAAATAACGGCTTGGTGGTAGTTAACTGGCGTAGTAAAGTCATAACTGAAATGGATACAGATGGTGGAACTATCAAATCTTTTACATACAATGCCTTCCAGGAACCAATAGACGTAGCTGTAGATCGGAGTTATGGCCATCTTTTAGTAGCGGATAATGGAATGAGCTGCGTTTTTGTTTTTGATGATGAAGGAAAAATTTTGTTTCAGGTATACATTTTTTATAATTAAACATATACCGATCTATACATCGAAACTGCGTGGTCTTTAACGTGTAAGACAATGATGTCGACAGCTTACTGGAAAATCAAATGTATTAAAAAGAGATAAAAGTTAGGTTGATACATTTCTTCTATGCGGTATTGCCGGATTTTGCATCAAAATTTCAAACCGCACAACTAAGCGTTTATGAAAAATGTTGCATCTAGGGTTGGAACTTTATTTTTCACAATTGGTTACTCATTTTACTACAGCTGTAATAGATTATATATGTATTTAGCATAGATATATTATTATCTAAGCTAAATCTAATCTAATCTTCATTTCAGAACTTCATACATGAGAGTTTTTAAAATAATTTATTTAATTTTTTTCTGGACACATTTTTCTGCAAACGTAAAAACCGTAATACTGTATGCCGCTTTTTATTTTGTCTCTCTGTTCGTCAACCGGTCATTTATATTTCTCTGTGTTGCATGGATTAAAATACAGACCACGCAGATGAAGCGACCAGAGCTAGTATATATGTACATACTATATACATACATATGCAGTAGGTACTAAAGGTGCAAATAATTTTACTTGCAGTGTGTTGTATCAGCATGGTTTCACATTTGTGTATAAAACTAAAAATATCTATTTCAGTGTATTTAGTAAGGGTTAGGAACAGATCTCAATAGAGCATTGTTAGAAATAATTATAATCTTATTAACACAAAAATAGTTTATAGTAAATAACCGAAAAATAAAATAAAAATGCGAATTTTGGTTGCTTTGGCGGATTATATTTCGTCATATTTAGAAAAGTTGTGTAATGACCTATATGATATTCAAACTTTTATTTATTATCGGTTTCAGATGTTTTGTCTAATTGATGAAATAATATTTCAGTAATTGTTTTTTTAGGTTGGTAAAAAAGGCACCTTTAGTTTGATCTCATCTGTGGCAGTTGGATCAACCGGAGAAATTTTTGTCGCTGATTCCAGATTGCAAATGTTCTCGGCAAAAGGAGATTTCTTGGAAATTATCTATGATGAAGGAAAAGGTATTTAAATTAAGAATAATAACAATCTCGTTATTTCATTATTTTATTTTGTGTTTCTGCAGGCAAAGGAAGATATGGCGGTATAATTGTCGACCAAGACAACCGCATAATAGCCAGCAGAACAGAACAAAAAGGTCGAACTTATCTCCAAGTATTATCCTCAAATGACAAAAATGTAAATCAGTATGTAGATTCACACGACTCGAAATTAAAAAGACCTAGTGGTTGTGCAGTTACCAACGATTTTCACGTTGTTGTAGTCGATTTGGGTAATAACTGCATCAAAAAATACAGATACTGGTAAATCAGTCCATTATGATTACAAAACATTTTCTTAGAAGTAAAATACTTCTATAGAATGTTCACGTTATGAGTACATGAGGTACTTCCTATTTAAGTGATCAACATGACTTTAAGTAACTTAGTTAAGCTTTTATAAATTGTTTTGATATTAAATAGGTGATTTTAAATAACTTATATAATATAGAAAGTCATAGATCAGTTAAATGGCAAGTTTTAGACTGAAAGTTTATTTTATTTAATTTTGTAAGAGTAAAACTGTTTTTTTTTCCTTGTTTGTATTAGAAAGTTGATTTTATTTTTTCAAATTATTCCCCAAAAGTCAGTAAGTAGGTCTAGTTGTAAGAAAATGTTTAAGTATCATACATTTATAAATTGTATATGGAAAAGATTAAAAAGGGAGATTCACAATGCTTTCTGATGGGATCACCTTACGTGTACATATTCTAAAAATGTTGAAATTATTTTGTGATTATTCACTAATAGATTTTATATGATAATTTTACAAATAATTTCAGAGACAATTTTCTCGTTCTAAGAGATCCGCTTAACATGTTGAAATATTTCACCTATTTATAACACTTAACCTTTTTTTATAAATGCCTTGTATGTATGCATTGAGTGTCATTACACAAGATTACTTTTCTATTTTTAAAGTAATTATTTGTGGCTTACTTTCTCAATTATTGCTGCCAAGTTACTTTTTAATAGTACTTAAAAAGTAAACGATATTTTGTAAAGCGCATGTGTTTTGTACAAATTATTTTCATTGTCTAGTCACTAGTATGTATTTTTTTATATATTGTACAATGCAGTTATGCTTAATATAAGCATCCCAACAATCAATCATTTATTTTATTTATTACGCCCGTTCTTAATTGCAGAACTGTCTGCCACTAATTTACCCAAATGTTTTTTCTTGTCTTATTACATATATAGCATGAGTTTTGATTAAATCAAGTGGCAATAAAAGCTATTCAGAATAACAAAATTTAGTGAAATTTTAAATTACAACATTCCAGATTCAAATAAATGAAGTTTAATTTGATTTTCATTTTCATGAGATTTCATGAATTTGCAAAAATATACCATGTTTGTGAATAATTGAATATGGGAATTTATCAGACAGTATATTACTGGTTATGAATTGATTTATTAATTTGAAGTTGAGTATCTATTTTTTGTATTATTAATGAATTTTATGTACAGGATGTCCCACTAAGAATAGCTCTCGGATGTATTTCGGAAAGTATTAGGCGTAGGGCCTACGGAAAAAATATTTATACCTGAGAAATTGCTGGAAATTGATTTCAAGTTTGTAAAACGACCGCTAGAGGGCGCAACTGCTATGAAAAATAAGAAAATAGAATTTTTACAGAATTTTGTCTAGATAATGGGTACTATAAATAACAGCTTCATAATCTTCAGTAAATTTTGGATTTTTTTGTTAGAACCATTTTCCCCTATCTGCTAGTTAGGTCTATCTTCATTTAAATGTTTATAACTCCGGATTGGATGATCAGAAACCAACGAGCGAGGGCTCATTTAAAAGAGCGTTTCTTACTCTATATTATACCATAAAAAAAATAATAATAAAGTTTTGAATGTAGTCGCTACGAATGGGCGCTTTCTTACAATTTAACAAAAATTGCGCGTTTTTTTAAAAAAATTAAATACGATAGTATATGTAATTTTAGCTGATAGTAAAGAGTAGTAAAAGCTTAATAAGTCAGCAAAAACCGCATCTTGATATCTTCTTTCAAACCGGAGATATTAGCAAAATTATAATAAATAGCAAAAAATAAGCCCTTAATTACCTTATTTTTACAACACGGTATCAGTAGCCCTTCTTGATTATGCCCATTCTAACAAAAAATAAGATAGAAACAGTTAGTTTATTTAAAAGTCGACGAAATACCATAATACCAGATGTATAAATCTCTAATAATTAAGATGTTAATAACAGTGAACAAGAAACAATGATTCAGTGAAGTCATGGTAGGCTTTGAAAAAAAGTTGCTTTGACGTAATAGTATAAACGTCAAATTGTTATTAAGATCAACATTTTGATAGTCTTAGCAGCGTTTTTTTTATCTTTTAATTGCTTTTTCAATATTCCTGTATTATTTGAAGTTGTCGGTATTTTGAAAAAGCAATTAAACGATAAAAGACTATCAAAATTTTGATCTAATAACAATTTTACGTTTATACTATTACGTCAAAAACAACTTTTTCCAAAGCCTACCATGACTTCACTGAATCATCGTTTCTTGTTCACTGTTATTAATATCTTAATTATTAGATATTAATACTAATATAAATCTCTCTGGTATTCTGGTATTTCGTCGATTTTAAAATAAACTAACTGTTTCTATCTTATTTTTTTGTTAGAGTGGGCATAATCAAGAGGGCTACTGATACCGTGTTGTAAAAATAAGGTAATTATAAGGGCTTATTTTTTGTTATTTATTATAATTTTACTAATATCTTCGGTTTGAAAGAAGATATCAAGATGCGGTTTTCGCTGACTTTTTAAGCTTTTACTACTCTTTACTATCAGCTAAAATAACATATACTATCGTATTTCATTTTTTTGAAAAAACGCGCTATGTTTGTTAAATAATAAGAAAGCGCTCCCTAGCGTCTCGTTCAAAACCTTATTATTTTTATGGTATAATATAGAGTAAGAAACGCTCTTTTAAACGAGCTCTCGTTTATTCGATTCTGATCATCTAATCCGGAGTTATTAACATTTAAATAAAGATAGATCTAACCTTCCCCCACCACTTTATTTTAGCAGATAGGGGAAAATGGTTCTAACAAAAAAAAATCCAAAATTTACTGAAGATTATGAAGCTATTCCGTACAAAATATATGTTCTTATTTTCCATGGCAGTTGCGCACACTAGCGGCCGTTTTACAAACTTGAAAATAATTTCCAGCTATTTCTCATAGACCCTTTAGTTATAAATATTTTTTCCGTAAGCCCTACGGCTAATACTTTCCGAGATACAGCCGAGAGCTATTCTTAGTGGGATACCCTGTACAAAAATTAGAAAGAAGGTTTTTTCGTTTGCTGCTCAAATATTTGAGAAATTCCATTAGAAGGTGGCGATAAGCGTAGGTTCCAGGTGTTTATAAAACTAAAAATGACACGTCAGAAGTATATGCATGTGGTTGAATATGCTCTGGACAGCTGGCCTCTATGGAGCCGTCTCAGATACTGGCTTTTGTTAAAGCCTTGAGACTGTATGATGAGTTATAACTGGTTATAGCTCAAGAAAGGGGAACACACAATAGATCTTTAAGGTCGCGGTGACTAACTCCCCTCCTAAACATTCTACATTCTACATGCTCTGGATAGAGTATGACACTAAGTAGAGTGTGTTTATTTGAATTCTTATGTCGCTTACGACGCTAGTAATGGTAACTTTTAAATATAGTCGTTTTTGGACATATAGTATTTGGAAATACATCTGTAGCTTTGAATAAAAAGATTAAGGAAGGAGCATATCAAGAATTTTAGGTCGAGGGGGACGGGGTCCTAGAATGGTCGACTTAAGTTCCAGTTTATCAGTGCCGTTATAATTTTATTCAAAACGTGTAAAAATATGATGTAGGGTAGACTTAATAATTTATTATTTTATTTTACGTGGTCAATAAATGTTGGTGGTTATTAGAATTGTTATAAAAATATACAATTCTAATAAAAATAGATAGGTTATAATAATTATTAACTCAAACATCTGATACGCTACTGAAGCAGGTAAGTCAAATTGAATATTTGACAAGTAGTAAAATAAAAGCAAAAAGGCAAGAAAATATAAAATTCGTTAATTGTAAGTGAATTTCATAAATGATCGGTTTACCACACGTATGTATATTATACAGGTTGTTAACTGAACAGTTACTTATAGGGGAACAGAATGGCAACACTGCCTCTTGAGAACGCATGTACTTATAGGGTTTTCTGCCGACTCGTCCCGTCGCGTCGTCTATGGATGAGCGGGCCGAGGTTGACATATTTCAACCATAAAGCTCTTGCCGCGAGTAATAAACAAATTAACAACGTGTATAATCACTTACTAGCGAAAAGTTATTCCATTATTTCCTTCGATTTTTTACCAAGATCTACCGCACGCTACACAACCAACAATTTTACAGTCTTTTTCGATAAATCGCAATAGTGCCACTGTTAATTTAAGTTTTACTACAATTTCCTTCTAGATTTACTATTTTAAACAACTATCAGTAGTATAATAAATAACAAAATAAGCACAGTAAAGACTGAAAAATCTACAAAATTTCAAATCAAATTCAAATGTGTCAAATGAATCGTCAAACAGAACTGTCAAGGATCCCCACCCTTTGTCCGTCTACCTTGCATGACATGAATGAAATTAATCTTTTTATTCAAAGATCTGTAGTCTTCAACTGTAACTAAGGTTCTATGCAGATCTAACCATCCTAAATTGGTGGTCTACAATTTAACGTTATAATGATGGCGATTGGTCAAGACCCTGATGAAAATTCATACATGTGAAAAAGGGACCGAAAAATGAGCTGAAACATTTCTCCTCGGGATTATTGCCGGAATTTACTAAGCTGTTAAAACCGGCAAACGAGGCGTTTTGAATAATACGTCGGCAAATATTAGACCATTGATATATCAATATAATTAATAAGCAATTTCCTTACATTTCTAATCTCACATCAAATTTCAAATTCTGTATGTGGGTTGTGGGTCTGTTTAATTCAGGTTTTATTTCTAACTAATCTTAGGAATAGACAATTCTGCATTTATCTGTTTCTTTTTTCAAATGGTTATTACGTTCTTTGTATTATTAAAATAAAAACCATCAATTTAGAATGACACAACGGTAAGATTTCAATAATTAATGAGAGCAGAGATTTCGTCATACTAATAATTTTAACGAATTATAAATGAATGTATGACGGTGCATGGTGCATATATTATGAATGATAATATTCCGACTCATTTATCTTCTTGCGTGAATCGGATATATTAAGTAATAAAAATAGAACAATGTGTCAGTCTCACCTTTTATTGGATATGTTTTTTAACATACAGAAATATTTCAAAAAATAGTTTACAAAAATGTAACAATGCAAATTATTAAAATTCTCTACCTCAATAATTACAATAATACAAAAACTACACAGGTTACTCTAGTAAATACTTAAAAATTATTATAGACATTGTCCGTTCCTTTGGAAAATTTTGAAAATCAAAGATTTTAAAATAATTATTTTCAATCAAAAATCATTACTCATCTTACAAAAAATCACAGCTTTTTTGCAGTCCCTCTCACAAGAAAATCACAAATATTCAAAAAATATTGAAAGGGGAATGTCAACAGATTCTCTATGGAAAACATACACAAATAATCTAAATATTTAACTTTTAGTCAATATTTACATGTATATTCATTCCACATAGGGTCGGTAAGAGAAATATTTTTAGGTAATAAACAATTTTAAAAATAATTTGCTATTCCTAACCCTGTGTGACTGACAAGTTACTTTGCAATAATTTTTACCCAGTTTTATTCAAAAATTAATTTTGTATACTTAGTCAAGTCTTTTCTTACAATTTTTCATGAACACATTTTTATCTTATGGAAATATTCATTTATTTTAAAAATACACCCTGTTTTCCAAGTTTGGCTTTTGGCTTATTTCATCATTAACATCACATTTATCACCCTGTTACCTTTTTTTGTTGAACATAATTTTCTACATTTGTATTTTTGATATTGACAATACCGCGTTTCTTTCCAGGGAAATGTATAAAGAAAATAACTCGCCAAAAGGTTTTCATTTTCAATTAAATTAGAAAAACGAATATCTCTTTTATACTAAAATACATGATTATAACTATCAAAAGGCACATTTTTGAACTAAGAAGTTGTAACCACAACCTATTCCAAATTTTTTATCAGTCAGCCATATTACATATCTGTGTTTCACACAGCAGTATTCAGTACAAGTTTTTATTTTAGTCTTTTCTAAATCCAAATTTATTATCTTATTTATTTCTACCATCTATGTTAAGGGATAGCAATTATTATTATGTAAATAAAATTTTGTCGTTTTCACTTTAAAATTAGGTAGGTACTTAAAACAGCTATTATGCTATTAGTTTTTCCCCAAAAACCTAAATTCTTCTCTTTAAAAATATATTACAAAGTAACTTTTTAATCCATCTGTTGTATTTACACATAATACAGAACAATACACATAATTTAATGAAATTTCAGTATTAAAAATGATATAAATATTTACTATAATATAAACAGTGCTTTAAAAATATGCATATTTCATAATTAATTACAAACTTTAAATTAACTAAAATTGTGCATTATATTTAACAATATCACTAGCTTTAAAGAAAATCATAATGAAATTGATTTCATTAGTAATACTGAAAATTTCAAACTAAAATTTAAACGATTTTACTTGTTTGAAGATTTATCTTGAGGATTGGTAAGTTCAATTTGTTCTTCGTTAGGGCTTAGCTTAGGCTGTAGAATTTTAAAAGCTGATCCTAAACTGGGTTTTAGTTTAAATGTGCTTGGTGGTGGAGCATGTTCTAAGAGAACGTTCGTTCTATCATCGAGAGATTTAAGTCTAACCTAAAATTGAATAATCACTTCAATCAACTAAAGTTAAAAGTAATATCTAACGGACTATCTTCTAAAACTTGAGGCCAAATTTTTTACGGTTTCGTAAATATTCGCGTTTTTGGTTTGGTTTGGTTGAAATATGTAATATTTCAACCACAGTTTAAAGAATATATATTTATATTCTTTAAACTGTGTTTCAACTACAAAATACCAGACTGATATTGACACAAGATACGCATTTTTAAATACTTTAAATGTAAAAACCCAACCAAAATGCAAAAAAATGTTATTTTTTTAATTCTCCATCTAACAAAGGAATAATATACAGGGTGTTTCATTTAAAAATCATCCCGATCCACTTACACTTTTTTTAATAGTTGGTTGTGTGTAGTGAACTTTGTATAAACTTTATTACTTTATTACAATGGTAATTTCTGCAGCTTTCAAGTGTAAAAGGCGCAATGATAAGAAAGAGCCAAGAGTTACGTTTTATAGGGAAATAAACAGTCAACTCCACCTTTTTAGCGTTTTTTTATTGAATTCGATAATTGTTTTTCTGATATTATATGTACTTGATACGTACTATACGTCGATACTAGTTTTGTACCTTCTGTTAACATTTTAATACGGTTTTTTCGTAATTAATTAGAATGACCATAGGCGTAGTGAAAACATTTATCAAAAATATAAATATCGCTTCAAGCGGCTACGTTAAGGGGCCTATTCACATACGTATATGTACGGTGGATTTGTACAATGGACAGATCCGTTATTTGGTACACACAAAGCGCTAGGTACGTCGTTCTGATACACACATCCGAAGAAAGAAATCTATCTCGCGGTAGTAGTTGCCAGTAGTTGCTTATCTCTAGCAGTAGTGTGTGTTTTTAAAATATGGATTATTCTAGTTTACTAATAAAGTATATTATACTCCAAATAATAACAAAAAAAATTGGCTTGCTTGAAATAAGACATAATTTTTCAGTAGCCATGATTATGCATATTTATTATACTTAAAGAATCCCTGCACTTATAACGACTAAAACATAAATTAGACAATAAAATACATAATTATTCATAACACCTATTAACATTTTACCTTAAATTTAATGTAAATAAATATTTTTAATGATTTTTAAAGCGACATGGGCATCTAAAATAACAACCAACTTTTATATGTTTTTTTACACATTTGTTAGGGATCATTCAAGGGTTGTGCCTACCACAATACTTTTACATATTTAACATACTTTTAGGAAGAAAATTAATTTCTGCCGCTACATCGTTACAACTTTCCGCTACTGTCGGCAACACTGATGCGAAGAAAAGATAATTTGCCTCGCACAAATCCGTTCTGGACTATTCACGCGTGGATATGTTCCACTCACTGTCCGTGCTCGTCGTTTTTTCGACGGACGGCGAGCAAGACATATCCAGCAGACACGCGAATACACACGTACGGATTCGTCCGTCGGACATATTCGTCAAACAAATTTGCCGTACAAAATCGCATGTGAAGCCCCTTTAAGAAAAATATGTGCCACGGCACTGTTTGGAAGAATGGTCACAGTTTGTTCTCTGGTGCTATTTGTCCTTGTATTCTTTAGTCATTGGTTGTGGACATGTCTAGGAGTGACGCGCTATGGCGATAACCCACTAACGCTTCGTCCTACGTGGGCGACGAAAGCGTGCAACGGGGCGATACGACCGGCGCGACGTTATGTCCTGCGTCGGCGATGCTATATCTATGCAAGTGTCCTGCGTCAGGACATTTTCATAAGAAAAGGTAACAGAGCTAATTCATAAGTTTCAAAATAAATTATTCATCGTTCATAAGAAAACGGTTTTTGATAACGTCGCGTCGGTCGTATCGCCCGTATCGTAGAACGAAGCGTTAATCCGATGCTAGATTTCATGCGCTTGAGAAAATACTTGCTCTTCTTTCTTTATTCAGTACATCTTATTATACTGAGCGTATTGACCCTACTCTTCGTACACACGAAAATAGGCACCCAAGGCCAGATATGTATGCCAACTCGGTATTTGTACTATTTTGAAGTAAACACACATTAAATAGATTTGATAAATACCTTTTCACAGCCATCTGGGGGTTCACGTGCCAAAAATTTATTGATGTGCGGTGAAGTGCCAAGTTTACAAGTTTCATTATCAGGACTGGAGCCATGACTTTCACCTATATAGAAAATACAAATTATTAACTAGATCTATTTTTATTCTATTTACTACACAATCACAGTGAGTTAAGACACAAAAATAATATTAAATAAATATCTAATCATTTCTTTTAATATGTAAATATATGGCTTTCTTTTGATTAGTTTGATTTTTACGGTAGGTAAAGGTAAATCATATTGCATATTACGTTATTACGATCAAAACGAAATATAATAAAGTAGATTGATAGCATTTTCAATTTTTCATTACATTTTTTTGTTACCTACTACTGCTCAAAAAGCTACTGAATATTTTTAACTACTTCAATTACAAGCCTAGATACGAAATGGGGATCAAAACAGCGATGATGGACCAAAACTATGATTTCATGATTTATTAACTACGGGGTGACGACTAAATTGCCGCACAAACCTCAAGTTTGATGATGTTTGATCTAATAATTTTGAAACTTCGATTAAAAATATAGCCCGTCAAAACTAACATTTTCCATTAACAAAACCATTGAATAACACTGTTGAAATTCATTGAAAAAGTTTACATGGCACCGCTACTATTTTTAAGTACTACTTGTTTTTAAATGAACGATATTTATCATGGTGGATTTTTTTCAAATAGAGAGCGTAGAGCGGTTTTATTTCAAATTCAATACCCTAACATTGTGAATTTATCCACATTACGTCAAATTGCCCATTGTAGTATCAACCAAAACGTAAAATGTGAGGAAAACAGTACTGGGAGAATTGTCAACTCAGAAGCTGACCAGCGTGAGTGTTGCTGAGTGTTCCAAGATCCTGAGCGAAGGAGAGAGAGGAAGCTCCTGAGAGAAAAGGAAAATTCTACTACTCAACTCCCAGTGGATGCATACCTATACCAAGAATGTACAACTTAGAGAAACACCTCACTGTAGTATTGAGTAATAAAAAGAACTGGAAGAGAGAAACGTTTGCTCAGCAAGTAAAAGACCATACCTTAAGTGGTATATACTGATGCTTCCAAAACCAAAGCCGGAACAGGAATAGGAATATAGCCAAAAACTAAATACTCCGAACCAATGGGCACCTACCCCAGCATCCTTCAGGCGGAAATTTACGCTATCGAAAGATGTCTAAAACTTATCTTAGATAGAAACTATCGGAAACAAGGAATAACCATCTTATCCAATAGTCAAGCAGAATTAAAAGCGATCAACTCAGTAACCATCAATTCGAAATTGATTAAAAAATCTAGGCATTTTTTAATGAAGAAGCTGAACAAATTCAAGAAGCTGAACAAATTAGGCAAAGAAAATAAAGTCCTCCTACTGTGGATGCCAGCAAACCAAAAGATAGAAGGCAATGAAGAAGCAAACCATCCAGATAGGAAAGGAACGAACACTCCATTAACTGGATCAGAACAGTTCTGCTTCCCAAGTGGAAGCCAACTTAAAGCGGAACTCAAGAATCTGGAAGACTCCATCCGTAAGCTGGAATGAGAATCAAAACGGTCTAAGACACTCAAAGAAATTTCTCAGAACTTACGACCGAGAAAAATCACAGACTTCCCTTTTCCTTGGTTTAATTAAGGACAATCTTCGGATTTATCACGGGGTTTTTAACAGGACAATGTCTCCTCAATGAACACCTCAGTAGATTGAACCTAAGAAATAACGATGAATGCAGATTCTGTTTGGTTTGGTTTGGATTGATTTGGTTGGAGATTCTGTACTTTCGAACATGAGTCGGTTAAGTACAGCTGTAACATAGTAAAGACTAAAATATTCAACAAAGTAACTGAGAAATGAGAAATTAGTTTAACTATATCTGTAAAATATTTTACTAAGTTAGATTGTTGTTTCTGCGGTCAGGTTTCCCGAACGCTTTTTCCAAATCCGGACCGGACTGCATCGGTCACTTTAAAACCCGGACACATCCGGGTAAATCCGGACGTAGTTCATCAATTTATGTAGGGTCTCCCTACATATTGATGAACTACATGTTGAATCAAAATGTCAAATTTATTCGATAAGAGCAATCAAATGGTGACTTGGCGCAACGATTTTGTCGTCACACAGTATTGTATTTATTTAATAAGTTAGTATAAATTTAAGTGTGGCTATTCACAAAAAAAATTGGCATACCAGTGGCAATCGATATTTGAAAGCTAAAATGTTGAATGCATACTTTGCATACACTCACAGAAATGTGAAAAGGTTAGGTTAGGTGCCTACCTAACACTTACAATTAGTGCCTACCAGTAGTAACTAAAGTGAAGGGCACGTACCACGAAAAATATTGACAGTTAAAGACATTCAATAGAATATTGTTTTCAATCATTTTTTGCAAATAAAATTTAAATGCCTTTTGCAAATAAGATGAAATTCTAAACGAAAGTTCAATTTTTACGCCTCGTTAAAAAAGTCTAATACATGTCTAATACCTACAACTTTTGCATAAAATATTTTATTTATCATTTATTTTACATAAAATCTTTGGGGATATGATGGTTATTCCTATGTCCCGTGTGGGTGATGCACCACACGGTATATGTTAAGTGCTTTATGTGTACCAAGCCAATCAATTATGTGCCAATCAGTCACTTAAAATTAACTAATTATATTTTCTTGCATTTTCGCTTTAATTTAATACTTGTTAAAAATAATAAGATACCCCAATTTGACTTAGGTGTTTCAGTAGTGTATCTCCTATTTTTGTTATTAAATAATTATAACTTATCTATTTTTATTAGAAATATATTTTTTTAACGATTTTAATAACTAATATCATTTATTGACAACATGAAACAAAACCAACAAATTATTGAGTCTACCCTTTGAATAAAAAGATTAAGGAAGGAGTATATCAAAAATCTGATCCACCGCGATGGGATTCAAATATGGCCGACTCAAATTCCGGTTTATCAGTACCATTCTAATTTCTAATTTTATTTAAAAAGTGTAGAACTATGATGTAGGGTAGACGTGGGGTAGACTCAATAATTTGTTGTTTTATTTTACGATGTGAATAAATATTGGTAGTTATTAAAATTGTTATAAAAATATATAATTCTAATAAAAATAGATCAATGAACAAATGAACTATATTATATAGTCACTTACTAGCGAAAAGTTATTCCATTATTTTCCTTAATTTTTGACCGAGATCTACCGCACGCTACACAATCAACTATTTTACAGTCTTTTTCGATAAATCGAAATAGTATCACTGTAAATTAAAGTTCTGCCACAATTTCCATCTAGATTTACTACCTTTATACAACTATCAGCAGTAGAATAAATAATAAATAACATAAAATAAGTTCAGTAAAGACCTTTGAATAAGAAGACTAAGGAAGGAGCATAATGCTATCCATGTATTCATGCATGGTGGGCGGAAAAAGCACAATAAAAGCACTCTAGGGTGGGGATCCTTGACAGTTCTGTTTGACGATTCATTTGACACATTTGAATTTGATTTGAAATTTTGTGGATTTCTCAGTCTTTACGGAGCTTATTTTATGTTATTTATTATTTATTCTACTACTGATAGTTGTATAAAGGTAGTAAATCTAGATGGAAATTGTGGCAGAACTTAAATTAACAGTGACACTATCGCGATTTATCGAAAAAAAGACTCTAAAATAGTTGGTTGTGTAGCGTGCGGTAGATTTCGGCAAAAATGAGAGTGAAATAATGGAACAACTTTCGCTAGTAAGTGACTATATAATATACATACGATGTAGTAAACCGATCATTTATGAAATTCACTTAAATTAACTAAATTATATATTTTTCTTGCATTTTAGCTTTTGTTTATTACTTGTCAAAGATTAGATGTCAAAGAATTTAGATACGTTAATTTGACTTACCTGCTTCAGTAGCGTATCAGATGTTTGTGTTAATAAATACTTATTATAACTTATCTATTTTATTAGAATTATATATTTTTATAACAATTTTAATAACTACCAACATTTATTCACAACGTAAAATAAAACAACAAATTATTGAGTCTACCCCACGTCTACCCTACATCATAGTTTTACATTTTTTAAATAAAATTAGAACGACACTGATAAACCGGAATTTAAGTGGGCCATATTTGAGGCCCATCGCGGTGTACCTAAGATTTTTGATATGCTTCTTTGCACAAATTTTGCACAAAAAAATGCACAAAATTTCAAATCAAATTGACATGTGTCAAATGAATCGTCAAACACAACTGTCAAGGATCCCCACCCTAGAGTCCTTTTTCCGCCCACCATGCATGAATACATGGATAGCATTATACTCCTTCCTTAGTCTTTTTATTTGAAGAGTCTACCCTATATTTTCACACATTTAAATAAAATTAGAATGGTATTAATAATCCAGAATTTAATCATCCATATTAATTCCCCATCGTGCTTGACATAAGTTTGTTGATATGCTCCTTTCTTAACATTTTATTCAAAACAAAATACACTAGAATTGTTTTAACTGTGAAAATCAAAACCAGATCATAAAATATTTAGATCCTATAGTTGACTAATATGACATGCAAAGGGTTGGCAAATTAAAATGGTTCTAATTGTGTGCTAATGAATAAATGAATTCTAAAATTTAACCTTCAATACTAGATGTTGAATCTCTTGACCATCTTCTTAACAATGAAGGTGAAAATGATTCTCTGGATGAGGCTCCTTTAAATACCATTTACTTAATACATATAATAAATTATTTTTCACTGAAACAATAAAAAAATATCTACCTGAAGAATGACTGAAGTCCTGGGGAGTTTGAGTATTTACTGAGCGAGATCTATTATATTTTAGTAATTCGGCTAAAGGAGCTCTGTGACCCTCAGGAGTTGCTTGTCTAGGTTCGTATCTTAAAAATATTACTTTAGTATTAGCTCTTTAAACTATTTTTATATTATTACATGTCATTTGAACAGCCTTCTGATCCAGTTCTTAATACTATCCTTTCTATTTCTTGATTGAGCCCTTCAACAGAACTACGCATTGATGCCTTGGGTAAGGGCTTCACACAAATATTTACAGGGTTTATTTTAATTGTTGGTGAAATCATACAAGCTGAAGTAGAAATAAATGTAATATGTAGATAATATGTGGTAACTTATTACATACAAGCCAAAGTTTGAGAACTAGTATCTGATGTGTGATCCCCAGGTGAAACATGTCTACTACCTGGCTCCTTATTTCCCCTAATTTTTGGACGTAAACCAAATTTTTCTAATTTATCTTCACTTTCAGATATACAATGAATTTTTCTAGATTCATGTTCGACTTCATCTGTCTATAATATTTTTTAATTAAATTTTAAATATAAAAATTTAATATCTCTAGTAAATTTATACCTGCGTAGCCTTATCCACTTGCAAAGTACCCATGTGACCCCAATAAAATGTGTCCTTAGGCCAGTGGCCTTTCAAGTAAATGGTATCTAAAGATGCTGTTCGACGTATTACTTCTGTTGATCTTCCGTTAAATTTTGATTTTCCTAAAATGTCTTTTTATTTAACCTAATTCTTGTGAACATAAAACTGTCTTGCCTTTATAACTTGATGAACCAGGACTTCTTTGACCTGATACTTGTTCAGGAGATGTTCTGCTTCTCCACGAAAATGATGGTGAAATAGGAGGACCCATTGTGGGGCTCTTTCCACTAACACTTCTTACAGAACTTGATTGTTTAACAACTCCACTCATGGGTATAGTAGCTTTCAAAGGCCCTTGTTTACAAGAATTTGGCGGTGTCTTAGCCACCCTACAAGGTGTACTTGCACCGCTTTGATGTCCCGACATATTTCCTTTTAAATAAAGTAATATTTTTGTAACAAAAATATAATACACAATCATTAAAATAATCCTGGGTCACATAACATCAATCAACTTTTATTTTGCATAATCGAAAACAAAAAAGCTATACTTTTTCCACACAGCGGTTTTAAACACGAATTTAATAATCTTTTTGTTCATCAATTAATCACATTGCGCAAGCTTTTCAAAAACAAAATTCTTTTATGCTGAATGCTGACACTGACAGTGACAGAAAATATTTGTCTGTCAAATTCAGCTGTTTGAATATTTTGCATATGATTTTGCATGATTTTGCGACGTGGGAAACTAGTTACCATCACAGTTACCATCTGTGGTTACCATTAATAACAGATAGAGGGCACAAAATATTTTATACTCCAAACTTATTTATAACTATTTTTCAATTTGTATTATTAGTTGTCTGGATAATGCAAGACTAAATTATGTTATTAGATAGCGATATGATAGCGATATTTTTTTGAACCTTGTTTTGGATTATATAAACTTCATTGAAAACAAGTAGAAAATCGGTATATGATATATATGCTAACATAGCAGCCTAAAAATTAGCAGTTTCCCGCAAATACCGTATGATCGAAAAAAAAAACGGCGTCAGCGATGGCTATGAAATGAAGATCGCTGTCATTTTACATGTAAAATTATATGGGGAATGTTATCGATCGTCATTTCCAAGCCAACTAGACGCCGTTTTATTCGAGAACAACGGTACTCATGATACATGTACGGTACCTGCATTGACTCTATTTCCTACTCGTTTTTAGCTTCATGTCATGATTTTTGTTACCACAGGTTATGTCGTTTTTACGTGAAAATAAAGAAAAATAAATGAAACAAAATAGCTAGAAATTTATCGTTTTATTGAAAGAGTTCTGCACTTATAAAAATAGGTACTATATAATATATAAATATCAAATAAGTCCTGCTTTATAAAAAAAATTGTGTGCGTACTATGTGCGCATATTTGAAGTGAAACTTCTTGCTATTACAATGAAGGATTTGAAGGACATGTTTGAAAAGTTGTAGTTTGAAATGTTGAAAAAGTAATAAATTAAAAAATAGTTTTGTACGCGTAACAAATAGTTTTTTACACGTAATAATTTGATTCACTTTGACAAAATTTGTATTAAAATATCAATATTTTTGATAAACACGTAGACTGCTCACAAGTACACGTCGCGTCACTACATATTTCTAAGCTGTAGGCTGTGCTTGCGACTTTTTCGATCGTTACCACTAGCTTGTGTGCCACAGCCTTGAATTTTTACTCCCTGCACGCGTAAAGAAGTTTCACTTCATAAATTGTAACAACGTAATAAATACAAACAAAAAATTGCTCACAAAAATATAGTACAAGATCCGGCTGCATCATTATTTTTTTTGCTCATCGTATTTTTTTATCAAAACATTATTTTTATGTATATTTATTAACAGGAGAATACACTTTTCACAGGGTGCCTATGAAAAACTTGCCGCAAATAAGGATTGCCATGGTTCAAAGTTTTTCCTACGAGCCCGCCAACAGTGCGTCGGGCATCCGAAGCTCTTATAATAAAAAAACTTACGAATTTTGTATAAGTTCCAAACCAAAGTATAGGATATATTTCAGGAAAATATTTTAACTTCTACAGGGTGGCTCAAAAACGTGTGAGTGGATCGGGATGACTTTTTTGAATGGAACATAAAAATACTTGCATATTAGCCTCTCCTTAGCCCTGTATATTATTGTATTTTTGGCTTCCTTTCTGATCACTTTACATAATCTTAAGATATTATTAAATATGTTTCGATCATAGACTTAAAATAAAATATAGACTACACTATTTACATCTCAACGCGGACAAACAACCTTTTTTGTACACAAGTTTACTTCTGGGTACAGTCGACCGAGCCTTCCTCATCCAGCCTATGTTGTCACGTCTTTAATATTATCAATATTTTTTTTCTTGTTATACACATATATTGAGATATTAATACTACAGTTTAATAAAGTAGGTTTTAATATTCCATAGATGTATTAAATAGTCCTTATACTACTAAATTATCAGTCGGATACTGTTTAATAAGGAAAGTTCTTTACAATATGACAACACTGATTAGAGGCGAGGGAGCCTATTCATTCATTTATTACCTTGTAGTACGTGTCGCACGTGTGTGGTAAAGCTTTGTTGCCGCTATCTCCCCGGCTGTATTAACGCATTTTCTTAGCTTGTAGTCCTTAAGTGTTTATTTTACTGACTTTTTCTGTTCAAAAACTATAAAATAAGGTTCGCCAGTGCCAAATTTGCAAGAAATTTGACTTAAATAATCCATTTAAGTCTTGAAACGACTTTTGACCGGTAGGCAACTCTCAATTTACCCATTGGGAGTCAGTGGCGTTGTTGTAGAAAGGCGCTTATTTAGATAATATTTTAGTAAAATGTAAAATCTGAATTTTTTCTCTTACATTACATTATTTACTTACTTACATTGTAACAAAATCATAATTATAACCCTGTTAATAATTAATAATGTTTTTATTAAAAATATTTTCCGGTTTATTCTAAAATTATCTTCAGAATCTAAAATAACATACAAGAATCTTAAAACGATATTACATTATGAAACAATATTTTTTAATATACCGGGTCGTCTCAAAAGTGGCTCACCCCCTATAACTTTTTTATTTTTTCAGATAAAAAAACAGATTTGTATGTTAGTAGGTATATGACATAAATTAGGATTTATTGACGTATTCAATTGTTTTTGGTCTCTTCCTGTTTCACCGAAATGATTACATCTTTTGATTTTTAAAGGCACCCTCGGTATATTGCTACTTTATTCGATAAAAAATGACACTCTGAATAGAATGACATATCATATGTCAACTTTTGACATTGTCGCTTAAAAACATATCCTATTTTAAATTTCAATCCAGGGTGCCATAGTGTTGGTTGTTAAAAACACTAAGTTTTAATCAAGGAGCCTTGGAAAAATAGTTTTGATCGTCGAATAGGTTTCGTGTCTTGTCTAGGCCGGCTAAAAGATGTACAAATCGTATTTTTAATCATACATATGTCAATTTTTTCAAATGGAACAAGGGTGACTCGTTAGCATATTTGGAAAAACCATTTTTTTATGAATATATTGATACCACACACTTGGTATTTCGAGTCAAATTGTCGTTATGAACCGCGTGTTACAATTACAATTAAACCATATGCGAAAATGTCAAAAGTTGACATATTATATGTCATTCTATTCAGAGTGTCATTTTCTATCGAATAAAGTAGAAATATACCGAGGGTGCCGTTTAAAAATTAAAAGTTATAGTCATTTCCGGTGAAACAGGAAGTGACCAAAAACAATTGAATGCGTCAATCAATCCTAATTTATGTCATATACTAACATGCTAAATCTTGTTTTTTATTTGAAAATATAAAAAAATTATGGGGATGAGCCAGTTTTGGGACGCACCCGGTATAATAAAGACAGTACCGAGTTAAATAAATGTAGTTTTCATTTTATCCACTTCCTATCATCTTCCTTGCTTTAATGGAACAGATTTATGTTTTCTCTAATTTACATTATACATAAAGACATCACTTAACCAGAGAAAAAATTACAACAATCATATTTTTTTTCTCTCCCTGTCGCCGATTCTATTATATCTGTGGAATAGATCCTGTTTTGATTAATATTAGGGGTTGTAAATGTTTGACTAAAATTAATAATTTATTATTAATTTCAAAAATTACGTAATTTCGATTATAAAATTTCTTCTATAACGTGTATTTTATTATTTTTATCCTTCTTGGACTCTAAGACGTTTTTTCTAAACTTTTATTTAAAAAACCTGTCCTAAATCTTAATAAAATATTAAAAAGTTTAAATACGATATATTTTTAATTTAATTATAGATTCATTAAAATAAAAAAATTACCCGGCTATGAGACGGAGAGTTCAGGTGTACTTGAGAAACCAAAGACAGTGTTGTGTTTCTCGGCAGAGTCGTCAGGGAACGACCGTTACGACAGAGACAACCTATCTATCGCTCGTGTCGCACTCGTTATAACCTAAAACAATAACACAACAATAACAAGATATTGTCTGACCGCATGTTCCAGCTATTTATGAATGAGATGCTCAGTCTATGTTTTATTTTAAGTCTATGGTTTCGATAGTTTCAGGGATATTAATAAATAAATAAAAAAAAGAAATGTTTTCAGCCTTTTTTAAAAAAAATTATTAAAAATACAAGAAATGTTCAGAAATCAAAACTATACTAAATATTTACTATTGTTGGTCTGTACTTACTGTGGTAGAAATATCGTAATGTTAATCAATACAATTTGTTCAAAATTCTATGCCAAACTTTCTAAAATATAAAATCATTTTTCTTCGTTTTTTTTTAGACAGACACCCTTTTTTGTATATTAATCCTTTGTTACAACAATAGTCAATATTTAGTATAGTTTTGATTTCAGAACATTTCTTGTATTTTTAATAATTTCTTAAAAAAGGCTGAAACACTTCTTTATTTATTAATATCTCTGAAACTACCGAAATATATTTAATATCTTAGGCTTATGTAAAGTGATCAGAAAGGAAACCAAAAATGCAATAATATACAGGGCTAATATTCAAGTATTTTTATGTTCCATTTTAAAAAAGTGATCCCAATCTACTCACACTTTTTTGAGCCACCCTGTAGAAGTTAAAATCTTTTCCTGATATACATCCTAGTATATACTTTAGTTTATGCACTTATACAAAATTCCTAAGTTTATTATTATAGGAGCTACCGATACCCGACGCACTGTTGCCGAACCCGTAGGAAAAACTTTGAACCGCGGCAACCTCTATTTGTGGCAAATTTTTTATAGGCACCCTTATAACATCATATATACAGAATAAAAATAGCTTTAATTTGACATATAAATTATCAAAAACATTTATGAGCGTAATGTCGTCTCCAAAAAATCAGTTATTATTATTAATTAAACATAGTTGCGGTAAGTTTTTGATAGGCAAAGTGTATTCTATTCATAAATATACGTAAAAATTAGGTTTTGATTAAAAATACGATGCGTAATAATAATGCAGCCGGATCTTACACCATATATAATATATAAAATATGATTTATTCTTCATCTGAAAAATCATATTCCTCATTATCAGGATCTCTTATGCTGTCGTTGGATAAGGCAGACGCTGGTTTCTCCCCTAATAGATATTCAAATATTTCGCGCAAATCTATCACAGCAAAGGCCGAGTAATTCAAATATTTTACAGCAGTTTGGCGCAGTAACTGGTAACCATAACTTATTGATTCTTCCATCAGCGGCTCTAAAAAGAAATACGTAATGTTTACACATTCTGGCATTTTTTTGAAAAAAAAAACATGTTGAAACGTAATACACTCAGAGAAATTTTTGGTCAAATTTAAAGGGTTATCGAGGGGTTGTGTTTTTTACCCTAACTTTAAAACACCCTGTGCTATAATTTCGTCTGTAAATTTTCATAAAATATCATTTTATGGCCAAAACCATGACTCCTGAGAATTTTGTTTTTTGATTCATGTCAAACATGCTTAGGTTAATTTTTAAGAGCGAAGTGAATTGATAACGATCAATTTGACATTTTTTAATTATCGTCACTTTTTGATGTAATTTTTTAATATGACGAGATGGTTTTGGTGACTATTGTCGTAACGTCATATTACACTGCGTTGGATACTCTATACTAAATTAAAAAAAAAACGTTAAAGATTAACGATACAGTCCGGGTTTTAATAAACATTAATAACGATAACAGAACTATCGATATTAAATAAAACATCTGTAATATACTCAAGTATACCAACAGAAAAAAAAATTGTAAAAAATACCCTAATACTTTGTATTGCCGTCCTTGGCTGCTATAACTGCCTATATAAGTCCGTTCATACTGTCACTGGGGCTGCATATATCATATTGCGTTATTTTTTCCAATTCGCCTTTAAGGACCAAGCGAAGTTCATTTAATGAAGCTGGTACCGCTTCGCGACCTCTAACCCTCCTGTCAACCATTTCCCAAACGTCGAATATGATGGGCACTTCATAGCAGTATATATAGTAGTTCACAATAATTACTAAAGCTCCCGTATCACATAACTTCAAAAAAGAAATGATAATTGAAAAAATTGCAAATTGTTGGTGAGCTGCTCATTTCGCTCTTATAAATTAACCAAAGCATGTATTGACTTGATCCAAAAACCAAAATGCTCAGGAGACATGGTTATGACTGTAAAATTACATTTCAGGAAAATTTACACACAAAATTATTGCACATTGTGTTTTAAAGTGCGGGTAAAAAACAACCCCTCGATTAATCCTGTATAATATTCCAAATGCTAAAGTTTATAAAAAACTGAGTTTACAAATAAAAGGTGATATGTACATTATACATCTTGCTAAAAATTTCATGGAAAATAGGGCTAAAAACAACAAAAATATAACACTTAATAATTTGATCAAAAATTTCTCCGTTGTTTTTTTTTCACCTGAGTGTAGATACGATAAAAAAACGATTCACAAAACAATTAAAACTCAATGATTTAAAAATGAAATATTTTATATAGAAAAATTAAGTTTCCGGACAAATACCTATTTCCTACAAATAAAGTTTAAATAATAGATTTTATTTTTCTCAAAAGATATCATAAATTTTAATTTCAAAGGGCACTGTGACGCAGTTTCTTTTCGATTGTATGGTGCATGTTTTTAAGGTAAATCGATGCAAAATATTAGAACATATACAGGGTGTTTTAAACACAAATGCGAAAAACTTCACGAGATGATTCATTGTTGAGTCAAGACTTGGAGGAATAGAAATAATTTGGATAGTCTGGTATATTTCCAAAGTATTTTTACCTCCTGTATTTTTTTCAACACTTACCGATTTGAAATTAAAAAATAAAATGCAAATCATTACGCGTCGAGACAAAAAACATTATTTTAGAAAAGTCCAGTTCGGTTGCTCATTCACTTTTATTTTGTACTATACAGGGTGAGTCTTAAATAGGTGCAAATATTTTTAGGGCTGGTAGATCTAGATAAAACAAACATATTTTCTCTTTACCGTTTTTCAAATTATTCCCAAATAACCGAGTTATTTGATTTTGAAAATTAAAATAAATGATTTTTTGTTTAAAGACTGGATCTTTTCTGGGTTTTTTTTCTTGTAAATTTAATTTACTACCTATGTTGTAATGTTATCAAGATATTTTTTAACTAAAAATTTAAAAAAATTCAAAATTTTTTTCAAAAAATTACAAATTTTTCAATTTCTTTTTGCGGAAAAAATGAGGGTTTTTTCGCAAAAAAGCATATTTTTTGTTGTTTTGAAATGTTAAAGAGGCACACAATTTATTTAGTTCAATGCTATGGAAAGGGTGATAATAGTTATCAGATAATGGGATACACAAAACATCCCCCTTTAGAACTTTTTCTTTAATGGCCATAAATGGGAGTAAAAGACCAACCGCCCGAACAAACACTAGAGGCGCCACCGGTCACCAAATGGTGTAAAAATTGCGAAAATTTAGTCATCTAATTTTGAAAGGGGTCGCGCTTAACTTTTTAAATTTTAATTCAGTTTTCATTGTTTTCAAACTACATTATTCGGTTTTGTTGTATTTTATGAACGTATAAATGTTTTTTTAGTATAAAGTTGCATCATATTAATTTAAATTATATTGCATGCATATTTTTATAATTAAAATATTATGACATATATGTCAGTTGCCGTCTAAAATGTCATCTTGATAACAAAAAGTTAGTTATTGTCAGAAATAGTTAAAATTATGTTAAAATATGAAAATTCACAAGTTATAATTAAATATTTTATATTATTTCAAGAACAAAAACATATTGGTACAGCGTAATGTTGATATGCAGGTCCAAAACAAAAAGTGCTGTTATATTTTTCAGTTTTCATTGTCAGCCGCGGAAGTTTCAGTAATTTTAGTGTTGTCGGATATTTTTATTTGTGAAGTAGAAATATTGAGTTTGGATTGCAAAACTAAAAGTAAAAGTTTGTCCATTTCATATTTTACTTTTTTCGTACCTACAACAAATATACATATGTATATTGAATTTTTATAATTCGTTTTATTTAAAAAAAATGTTAGAAAACAAGCCTGTAATCCTGTAATTGACATAATTGATATGTAATATATTCAATTTAAATATAATATATTACTTTACAATTAAAAAAAGTAAATTTAAAAAAATATATTAAAAATATATACAGGCATTAATTGTAATTTTTAGTATGCGGACAAACACGAGAGGCGCTTTATTATTTACTTTCATTTCTTAATATGACAGATGTTTTGTGATGGGATACTTTAACAACAACAAAAAATATGACGTTAATCAAGATTAATAACCATCTATCAAAGAATGAAATCGAAATGCTATTGCCTGTGCTATTACCATAGAAACGCCTTTTGATTTTTAGGACTTCAACAGTATTTTCATGTTTTTTTTTAATTTACTCTAAAACGGTATGGAAATTTTGAAAAGTATAAACGGAATTAACCAATTTAGAATAAGGAAATTTTTTTATGAAGAATGCATTTTTCTCAAAAGGTTAATGGGTAATAAAAAGTTTTTCCTCTTCTAAAAACAATCCAGTGACATACTGTACAAAATATAGATACAGATAGTGTGCTTCCATCCTAATAATACTCCCATAAAATTCCATTATTCTATTGATATTTGTTTTTTACATAAAAGATATCTTTTATAATATTATTATAAACCTTATTATTCCGCTATTTTTGAATCGCAATTTCACCCAAGTTGAATTTTGACCCAACGTTTATACCGATCTGGTCATCCAAACTGGGTGGTCTGTGTTTTAGTGCATGACCCAGAGATAAATATGAATAACCAGTTGACCGACAGAGAGACAAAATAAAAAGTGACATAGTGTTGCATGTGTGCAGGAAAATGTGTGTAGAAAAAAATAAACTATTTTAAAAACTTTCATGTATACTACTGAAATGAAGATAATAATTAACAAATAAGATAATCTAAGCTAAATATAATATATTACAGACCTGTAGTAAAACGAGTAACTAATTGTGAAAAATAAAGTTCAACCCTAGATGCAACATTTTTCGTAAACGCGTACTTGTGCGGTTTGAAATTTTGATGCAAAATCCAGCAAAAGCGCATAGAAGAAATGTAGCAACTCAATTTTTTATCTCTTTTAATACTTTTGATTTTATACTAAGCTGTCTATGTTACTGTCTTAGACTTCATTCAGAACCTCCCAATTAGTGGAATAAATTAGTAGTTTCAATTACACTTTATAGTTTTTAGTTTACGATCATTCACAATGTCTAAAAAACACAATTAAAATTACTAATAAAATATCCTAGCAACAGCTTGCGGTAGTCTGTTGTATCCATAGAGAAAGCATAATATTTAGCTTATAAAACAATAAACTTTTGATTTCTAACCAAAATTTTTCTTGACGGGTGATAATCAAAGGCCAAAACTAGATTACTCGCAAATTTTGAAGTATAATTAGTGGAAAAGTCAAAAGTTTGTTAACGTTTTCCACTAATTGAAAATTACTACCAGTAATTATAACGTTCTGAATGCTTACATTAAAATTAGGTGAACATATTTCTACTGCTAACTGAAACTACTAATTTATTCCACTGATTTCGAGGTTCTGAATGAACCTTTACACGTTAAAATCCAGGCCACGCAGTTTCGATGACCAGATCGGTAACACAGGACCCACTATTTTTACCAAGGAATCGCCCCTTAATGTTTGTGCATTTGCTTTGGAACATCTCGTATATGGTATGATAACAAAAATGCGTCATCTTAAAAATTACTTTAGCTTTTCCATTCTTTAATTAGTTTGTGACAGGTTTTAATAAATGACATAGAGAGATCAACTTTCTGAAAAATTTTCGTTGCACGCAATTTCAAAGGTCATTGTGACGCTGTATTTTCGATCGCTTGGTATAATACTTACTTTTTGTTAAATGACTCAAATCAAATATATATACATAGTAACTGATTTGAGTGAACAGATCTTTTTCACTGTACTCCCTATACATCACAAAATCTTCGCAAATCCTGCACACGGGTAGTTTGCGAGCAAACCTCAATGGTGTCTTATTAGTTTCTTGTGGACAGCCAGGATCTTCGCATATTAATTTACACTGGTAATACTGTCTAATGTGTTCATTTATGGTCAAACTCAACTGATTCTGAATGTAATATATGTAATCAACTGGCTTAGCCATACATTGCTCATTCGAACATTTTTGAAGAATAGGCACGGTTTTGTTTAACGGACCTGTCACTGTATTTACATTTTGACAGGTAGGGCATATGAAACTGAATTTTTTGACATTCCTAAATTTAACCTCAGGTCGTGTAATATTTTCTCCAACATTTTTTTCAGGGCGTACGCTCTTTTTAAAGTTGGCACCATCCAATCCGAGACACAGAGCGATTTGATAGGCATCGGTGCCTTCTATTGGCTCGCATATTCTGGAAACTACAGGGTGGATTTGCTGGCATAAGTAATAGTTTGTGTCGATTTTCAGGTTTTCGATGTTTTTTAATTCCTCCGGATGATATGCTCTTTGCGTGGCTGATTTAGTTGATCCGTCGTCGCATATAACGTAGCTTACGGTGTCGCCTGCTCTGTAGTGACCGCCATATTCCTTATTATACCTTAAAAAGCATGAATAATTTGTGATTTTCAATTTAAAGGCAGCTTTATATGAGCAGAAAAATAAAGCTAAAATACACTATATACATATATATATACTAAAATACACTATATTGCACGATGTAAAAGGTTGAGTCAAAACTTGATGTTGCATTTTTCTCCATTATTTTAATTTATGACATAAATGAATGCAGCTGTTTATACAACTTATATTGATAAATAATTATTATATTCCAAATTAACGTCCATTCGCTAATTTTATATTCTGTAATGATTCTTTTCAGCAGTATCAACATACAATAAATTCTATTTATTAATTCGCGAAGTGAATTTTTTTTGTGAAATTAATTACAACGGCTTTAATTTTTTTCTAAATTTTTGTCTGGATAATAATAATTATATTATTATTATTATATTTAATTATAATAAATAATTATGTAGTTTTGTCGCACCTTGTATATTTCCAGTAAATTAGCCATTTTAGTATGATTAGTTAAAAAACATCAATAATTTGTGAGCAAAATAAAACACTAAATCACCACAATACACCAAAACACTTTTACTGTTACACTGGACGCGCGTTTCACTAACCATGTTAGCATCATCAGCAGATGATTAAGAACTAGTTTCAGTTTTTAATTATCTGCTGATGATGCTAACATGGTTAGAGAAACGCGCGTCCAGTGTAAAAGTAAAAGTGTTTTGGTGTATTGTGGTGATTTAGTGATTTATTTTGCTGTGTAACACCAAAGGTTCCAACCCCCAACTGTAATAAATAATTTGTGAGTTATGAAGATACTATACATTCAGTTAAAAAACATCAATAATTTGTGAGTTTAATTTTGAAATAGATTTTAATTTTTAGAAAATTTAATCTAAAAATTTAGAAAACACTCAGTATAGGTTATGATGTTATGGTATTTTTCAACAAATTTTTTAAAGGGTGAAAAATCCACTAAAGAAGAAACATTAAAAAGTTCCATTTAAAAATTCTATAAGTTTAGTGTAAGAATATATATTTGAATTATCCTGTATATCTATAAAAATAATTTTAAAACTTGCGCTATACAAACAAGATTAGAGTGAAACTCTCAAATAAGAAATCCGATGTCGAGAGGTCACCCTGTATATTGACAAAAGTAAAAATAAATGAGAAAAAATACATACCTCAATGCAACTTGAACATGCGGAAGTGAATCTTTATTTGGATACATTTTTGGATCTTTCGTAAGTTGTTTTGTAATAACTAACAACTGTAATGGCACTTTATTTTCAAGTAATTCTTCCTTCAACTTAGTTAAATAATTATGAATATTCGTTATACGGTCATCTTGTGTTTGTTCGCTAAGAATATGCTCCAAAACGAATTTTCCAGCTTCTGAAGCCAATCTTGACCAATCTCTTCGTACAATATCCAACCCTTTGTATTCTTTTTCAGCCTTCAATTGACCATCTTTAGTCTTGGTTAGTGTTACAGCAGCGTATTTCTTTTTCTTCAAAAGAAGCAGATATCGGAACACGCCGTCAATATCGAGTTCTACTTGTTTGTAGAGTTTGTTCACTTCCTGTTTGATTTTGATGCCTATTTTGAACACTTGATCATAGTCCAAGACGTTAGTATTTATCATGATACTGTCTGTGTCGCCATAGACTACTTCAAAGGACATTTTTTCGACTAAATCTTTGGTGTTGGTGAGGATTTCTCGTCCTTTTTCCGTGACCAAAGCTGCTAAATTTTTGGCATAAAAACTAAAAATAATATAGTAAGAGAATAAGAATTTAATTAGCATTATTTTCATATGATTAGTTCATTCTTTTTGTTCAAATTAGGGCCACTAAGAACAGTTTTTGTCGATTTTGAATCTAGTAACTTAACTATAATATATAAATATAGACTGCATTACTAAACTTCGAAAATTTAAATTATTATAAAATATGTTTAAGAATAACAATACCGGGTGCTAATACTACTAAATTTAAGTATACAGAGTCGGTCATAAAGTCGTGGCACATCAAAGTTTCATTTTTTTAAATGGAACCTCTTGTATATTATTGCATATTTCGGTTCTTCCTTCAATTCTAAGCAAAAATCGAAATACACACAATGTACCTCATACCAACCGTTTCCGAGTTATTGACTTTTGAAAATATCACTTAAACAATTTGATTTAATTAATTTCGATATGTTGAGTTTCATTTAACGATGCCATTTTGCCGAAACTGTGATACTTAATAATATTTGACATTAGTTGTCAAGTTAGCATTTATAGATGTATAAAATGAGAGTAGGTATAGCAAGTCTGGAAATTACAAAATTTTCGTTTAACATTCCAATTCTTCAATTTATGTACATTGTGTATTACGATTATTGTTTAAAATTGAAGGAAGAATTGAAATATGCAATAATATACAGGGGGTTTCATTAAAAAAAAAGTTTGATGTGAAACAACTTTATGACCGACCCTGTATACTTAAATTTACTAGTAGCTAATAGGAATTTAAAAACCCATTACAACAGTATCACAGTTTAGGTAGAATGGTATCATTAAATCAAACCAAACACATCGAAATTAATAATTAAATCAAATTGTTTAAGTGAAATTTTTAAAAGTCAATAACTCGGAAATGGTTGGTATGAGGTACATTGTGTGTATTTCGATTTTTGCTTACAATTGAAGGAAGAACCGAAATATGCAATAATATACAGGGGGTTCCATTTAAAAAAACAAAACTTTGATGTGCCACGACTTTATAAACGACCCTGTATACTTAAATTTATTACTCGCTAATGGATATTTAAAAATCCTATATAACTTTTGTATTTAACTTTTTGCGGTACCTCCTATATTTTATCTAATAATCGACCGTTTCCATACATAAAAAAGCGACCCTGTATAATTAATAAAAATAACAGTGGTGGCGATAGAAATTTGGGAAACGGGTCTCGCCCGAAATTTTTTTATATTTATACATTTATACGACAAGAAAATCTGAGAATTTTATTATGAAGTCGAAGGGGCAGCTTTTAGTGCTGAGGCCCACGCACGGTAAGTTATGCGGACGCCTTATTGCGGCCAAAAAACGAGAGTTTGAAGATTTAACATTCATATTTCTGTTGCTAGATTGATGAACAATTCTACGGTTATATTTATAAATTAAGTCGGTAAATAATTTTCACAAAATTTAGACTTTTTCCAAAAACATATTTTTACTGAGATTGACAATAGATATGATATACGTAAACATCCTGTATATTAAATGAAAAAGAAGGGATAATATTGCGGGAAAATATATAAAGAAAGGAAATATGGGCACAGTTCGCTCGCACAACCGCAGACACGTGTTCCTGGCTTATAAGAAGTTACAAGATACAAAACAAGACCAAGTTACAAGATGACAACTTGGAGATGGAGCAAAAAATAGAAGAATATAAGTAGCAAACGAGAGCCTAAAGCCCCAATTTGCGGCTTAAAACCAGAGTCACCCATGATTGTGGGCTTAGTCAGAACAGCTGCGGAGGTAGCCAACAGTAACCCGCCGCAATACCCTTAGCCGTGGTACCAATACAAAAAAAAAGGAAAGAAATATCGGCATAGCCCGCTCGAGAGTGATAACACATCTCCTTCCAAGTGTGCATTCAAGTTACAAGATGATAACTTGGGGATAGAAAAAAGGAGCAAACGTAGCCCAAAGCCCCAATTTTTTCTCTATACCGTATGATCGAATAAAAACGGCGTCAGCAATGGCTATGAAATGACGATCGATGACATTTCCCATATATAATTTTACATAAAAAATGACAGCGATCTTCATTTTTTTTTTTTTCGATCATACGGTATGTATCCAATAATATATTCCTGTGAAATGTATTTGCAAGATTACAAAAACATGTTGCATAAACAATATTTTTCAATTCCTCTATTACTACTTATTTTTGTGAGGACTAAACCCAATAATAATAATACCAAAAAAAATTACCGAGAATTGGCAAATCCCAAACATCCATACATACTGTTGGCTGTCAATTTTAACGCCATCTGTCGTATGTGATACTGCATTCTTAAGTCAGGCGATAAGTCACGTGGCTTCATTAGATTCTTCACTTGTCTCCTGCTCTCCACCAATTTTCTGATTTCTATAGGTAGAACTCCAGGTGGTAAATTCCTGTCCGGAATGACCAAATTTTCATCCTTTTTAGATACAGGCAATGTTGTAAAACAAATATTATATTCCTGTATAATACTGGGGTATAATGAATTGAAATCCATTAGCAATACAAGGCTGTCGTAAAAACCCACTTTTGGATCCAAAACAAGACCACCTAAAACAATATACATTATTATTAGTATTAATTACTTATCTATGTTGTTATATACAGGGTGGTCGAATTGTATTCGGGAAACTTCGGCAGCATATCCTGCAGATAAAAATAAGTAAAAAATTTCGTATAAATTTATATCCTAAAATCACAGAATATCTAGCTACGCAACAGAAGCCTCGTTACACGTATAAAATCGTATATAGGTATCAAAAGGAGACAGGCTTTTAAAGCCTGTCTCCAAATCAGATATTTTGATGCGGTAGTTTCGCTACTACATAATAGAGGGCGATAAATTTAAAAGAAAACATTTTTTTTTTTTTTAAATTTAAAAAATTTTATGCAGTGTTGCCATTGTGTAATTCATATTGTAATACTTCCTTATAAAGCCTACCTTCAAATTTGCTACATCATTTAAACATATTAAAATAGATCAGAGCTCTTTTTTCAAACGTTTAGGTATTTAACTTGCCATGTTAGTTTGATTGAGTTATATCTTACGAGCTCAATTACAATCACTTTCTGACGTTTGATTGTAATTGAATTTCCGGGCGTTCGATGGACTTATACTTGGTATAGTAAGTATCTTTGGTGACATTGTAATATGATGGTACTATGATGCATATAAAGTGGTAACTTAATATAGTACCATATTACGATACCACTTCCTGACGTTCGATTGGGCTCATATTTGATTATACTTGCCTATTTTTTATGACATTGCAATATTATGGTACCATGAAGTATATCAAGAGGTACTATAATGTAGTACTATATTACGATACCATTTCCTGGCGTTTGATTTGGCTTAAACTTTGTATGCTACGTATGTTCAGTGACACTGTAATATGATGATACTATAATGCATATAAAGAAGCGGTACCTTCTATGGTATCATATTATGATACCACTTCCTGACTTCGATTGGACTCATATTTGATTTATACTTGCGTATTTTGATGACATTGCAATATTATGGCACCATGAAGCATATCAAGAAGTACCATAATGTAGTACCTACGTACTATTACGATACCATTTCCTGGCGTTCGATTGGGCTTAAACTTGGTATACTACGTATCTTCGATGACATTCTAATTAGTAGTGGGAACTATCGAATGAATACTATCGAAACATTCGATAGTTGCAATTCATTCGAATAATTCGATAGCTAGTAAGAAAACATTCGTTGAAAACTATTCGAATAAAAATATCGAATAGATGCGTCATCTGCCTTGAAATATATTAATTCGGCAGCAAAAACCATTCATTTATAAAATTCATTCATTTGTAAAAATTCATTTATTCGTCAAGATCGATTATAGTAAAATATTAACTGGATTTTGATTTTAGTTGTCGCCCGGCGACGTAGGTTTCTTTACTAGAAACCCGACAGCGGACGGTGGCAATGCTATGAAAAAGCCGGCATCTTTGATTTTTGCGGAGTCATATAAAGATAAGGACACATTATTTTTTTATTGAGGGTGCTAGTATTTACACAGAAAATCATTATGAACGGCGCTGTTGTCGTATATTCGTATTAGTTGGTATTAGCAAAGAATATTATTCTTTGGTATTATAGTTAGTTAGGGATAGTATAACTATATATTTTGCATGTTTTTTATTAATATTCTGTTGTTACACTGCAATAATACTTTTTTATTTTGGATATAGGAAAATGATTTTAATGTTTTAAGCAAAACTGGTTTAATAAATAATAATAACAGTAATAATTTTTTATGTAACACCAAAATTTAAAATCATTTAATATAAACATTTTTTAGTAGTAGCAAAAATATAAACAACAAATTAGAAGTCAAAATTATTTATATTAGATCCTATTTAAAAATAATATAGTCTCTAAATTTTTTGGCAACGTTGGTTTATTAAATAATAATAATTACAAGAACTAATTCGTTATATTAACAACAAATTTTAAAATCATCAAATATAAACATTTATTAATTTTCTAAGCATGCAGTGTAATAGAAGAAAAATATAAATAAAAATTAGAAATCAAAATTATATATGTGTATTACTTTTTATTACTTGCATATTAGTATTAAAAATAATATTTGCTTTTACTGGCATTGCTAAAAAAATAAATATTTCTCCGCAAAAATCTACATGTAAGAGAATTAGCATAAACAAAATACAAATATCGTTAACTTCTTTTTTAAATTGGCACGTGTAAAACTTTAATCAATCCAATTTAATTTCCTCATCCCAAAATTTGAGTTCGATAACCCCATTTTCTTAACACATTACTTAAATATGATTATTAAGTTCAACTAATTCATATTACTAAAACATCTAAAATACAAATACATATGTATTTTTTAAAATTAATTGTAAAGTTCACCTCATCTCTCTTAAAATTGTTACTTCTCAAAATTTTCCATTAAAAAATAGACCATATACCGTATAAGAATTAAATAATTGAAGATCGGAAAATCACACAAATTTTCGGAATAATTTTGACCACCTGCACACGTACACAATCGTCAATTAAAAAAAAAAACACTACTACTTTAGTATTTTAAATATTTTAATAAACGCAAAAATAACTTTCAAAGTATTTAGAAGGCAAAGTTATAAAAATTTGGAAGAACTAATGCACTGACGCAGACAAAAATCAAACGAACACTAAATTTCATTTATCAAAAGCATTCGATAGTCGTGGCTCGTTGCGCAACGATAACCATTTAATTAACCACATGAGATTGTCACTAATGCTTTAGTATACAAATGAATGAATGATTTTATTCGAATGAAACCAGTCAATAGTTGAAATCATTCATTCAGTAACCATTCGATAGTCTAATTCATTCGATAGTTCCCATCGCTAATTCTAATATATTGGTACTATGATGCATAGTACCATATTACGATTTTTTTTTTTTTTTTTTGGTTTTGACATTTGATATTGTTTTTAAATTTGGTATACTACGGATCTTCGGTGACATTGCAATATTATGAAGTATATCGGGTGGTACTATAATATAGTACAATATTATGATATCATTTCCTGGAGTTCGATTGGGCCAAAATTTGGTATACTTGCGTTTCTTTATAAAGATTTGTTTAATTAATAATTTTAATTTATTTTACGAATTTTAATTTATTGTACGATGCCGTGACAGCAATTTTTATGCCCGAACTCTTTATTATTAATTAATTGTACCTGTGTCACTTTTTTAAAATCTACCTAGGTCTATATAAAAACGTAAAACAGAAAGAAATTTGTTATTATAGTATTTTTAGTCAATTATACATTTTTTGTACTGCATTTTAATAAATTATTTCCATTATTATTAACGTATATTTCATTACTAACGTTTCAGCATTAATAAATATCACTATCAATCGCCCTGTATAATATTAATTTTAAAGGTAATTAAAGTTATTTTCTTAGTTAACATAATAAAGTAGTGTACATATATTAAAAATGTATTTTGTGAACATATGTTTTCTAATAATATACTTAAACTTAAAACTATTTTAAAAGCCAAACGAATAATTAATATAAGCGTATCTAGAAACGACGAATAGAAAGAAATTATTATACACCAGAAAAAGAATGGGGCGCAAATTAAAGTCTTTTTGAATCTGGCAACTGTGCATATTTAGCCGAGCTTCAAGGCCGTCGACGTGTCGTTGATCCAAAACCGAAAATTGAAAATTTCCAATTATATTCTGAATATGATATTGTCGCGCCATCTAGTATTTTATTTGTGCAATTTTAGCTCTTTAATTTCGAGTATTTTTCTGTTGCGTAGCTAGATATTCTGTGCTAAAATGCTTCGTTTCAGAGATACAACGTGTAGAAATTTAATTTTTAATTTTTTCCCTAAATAATTTCTGAACTAAGGTGTGAGTGGTCTTGTGCCCCCCAAGACACCCCACCTCCCGTGGATCCGTCACTGAGTACTGTTATTATTATTTATCAACCAACGTTGCCAAAGAATTTAGAGACTATATTATTTTTAAATAGTCATATAAATAATATTAATTTCTTATTTCATATTTATATTTTCCTTCCATTACACATGCATAGAAAATAAATAGATGTTTATATTTCATTTTAAATTTTTTTGTTAATATGATAAATTAGTTCTGTAATTATTATTATTTATTAAACCAACGTCGCCAAAAAATTTAGAGACCATATTATTTTTTATTTTTTAAATAGGATCTAAACACAAATAATTTTGACTTCTAATTTGTTTATATTTTGCTCTCATTACACTACTTAAGAAAGAAATAAATGTTTATATTTCATGACTTTAAAATTTTGTTGTTATAATAGGTATAACAGTAGTACTGTTATTATTATTTATTAAACCAGCCTTTGCTTAAAAACATTAAGAACTATTTTCCTACATCTAAAATAAAAAGTATTATTGCAGTGTAACAGAATATTAATAAAATGCAAAATATACATAATATCCGTAATTGGCTCATACCAAATAATACCAATATATGGCAACAGCGCCTTCATAATGAATTTTCTGTGTAAATTACTAGCACCTCAATAAAAAAAAATATTGTGTCCTTATCTGACTCCCTAAAAAATCAAAGAAGCCGGTTATCAAACCATTGCCACCAACCGCTGTCAGGTTTCTAGGAAAGAAACCTACGTCGCCGGGCATCAACTAAAATCCAGATTATATTTTATTATAAAGTTTTTTTTTTTTTTAATTAATTTTATAAATGAATGGTTTTTGCTGGCGAATTACTAGAATACAAACTTTCAAGGCAGATGTCGCATCTATTCGATTATTTTTATTGGAATAGTTTTCGACGAATCTTTTCTAACTAGCTATCGAATTATTCGGATGAATTGCAACTATCGAATGTTTCGATAGTTCCCACTACTAGTCAACATTGTGTAATTTTTATCAGTTATGGGGACATGTATTGACTAGCTCGATTCAAAATATCTTGAGAACCACTACTCATAGCGATTTTTACCCAAGACTTTTTACGTAAAAATTTCGGAAATGTATATTTTTTCTGAGTGGTGTAATACAGGTGCGGAAGAAAAGTTGTGCTCTTCAAAACAGCTAGAACTATGTAGGTGGCGCCTCCTGCAAGCAGGACTCATATTGACATCGAATTAGAATTTCGACATCAATTTTCATCCAAATATCGAAAATAGCTCAGAACTTATTTGGAAAAAATCGAACTTCTAAACCCTGTATCTCATAACAACATTTTTAGGACATAAGTTTATAATTATAGACTATTTTGTACTTATTTTAATCTGCAGAATATACTACTGAAGATTCCCGAATATAATTCGAGCCAACCTGTACATTTTGTTTTCCTTTAAATATTTTAATTTATAATTGAAATTAAATAGTGTGCATACCTGAATAAGTGGGCTTTTTCCTTGATGACTTCGGTATCTGTTCGGTATCTGTTTCATTCTTAAAAGGATTATCTTTATCTGGAACAATGTATCCTTTTTCTACAAAAGCGTGCAATAACAAAAATTCGTTCCTCTCTGATCTTCCACCCAACAAAGTCTTTGACATTATATTTCCAGCAATATTTGTAATTTGCAATGCCAAAGGAACTATACTCAGATCATATAAAATCTTCAAAATATATGCTGTATCTTGCATTGTGTATGTTATCAGTTTAACAATATCGTTCGCTTGTTCATACATCTTCGGTATTTCATCTGGTTCTAAATCGATTCTTTGGTTTTCTGGCATTTTGAGAACATGCTGACACAAAGAATCCAGATCGTACGTTCTCAGTCTAATTAATTCTTTAGCTGAAATTTTTATATCGCAAACCAACCGTCCAGTGAATAAAATTCTATCTAACCATCCCATTTCCGATCTTTTTAGTTTGCCAATTTACTAAAAGACGTTATCTTGTAGTTCTTCAAACGATTGGCCAAAACATTTATATGGAAGCCCTGCATATCAAAGCCTACGATCATATCAGGATCGATTTTAAGGAACTGAGTAACAAAATAGTTGAGTAACGCTTTTTCGGAGTCCATTTTTTGTACTTTGGTTCCTTTATAAGTTTTTAGGCACTCGTAAATGTTCATTGGAAGGGGCTGTTTGGCTGGAGATGTAAAAACTATAACAAAATTATAGGCTAACCAAGTTTATCGAAAGCAACATATTAAAGTGTTATGTGTTAAAAACGTTTGCGCAATTTTCTTTGTAAAGTATGTGTATAATAGTACGCGTACATTATAAAAATATTTCCATAGATATACAGGGCGATCCAAATATATTTTACACCAAATTTGTAATTTTTTCAAATGAAAATGTGCATTTTTTTCGCTGAATTTGTGCTCAACATTAACTTTCCTATTTGAAATTTTCATTCTAATTATTTTATAAATATGCAGCGATATAAGGTACATTTAAACCAACATTTAAACATGTTTTCATATTATACAAGGTAACTCTAATATATTTTTAAGCTAATTTATCACAAAATTTCCATTCAAAAATTATCTCTATATTGTCACAATCTATAGCAAAACAATGTTTGTTTGAGGAATTTAGTATATTTTAGTATGATTAGTTATGAAAAAACACTATCATACTAACATATAGGTATGCTAGGTAAAAAACGGTTTAAGATGGTCTATTAGCATAATCTACATATATGAAATGCTAATCTGTGATATCTATACAAGTAATGAGAAGCTTGCTCTAGAGGTTGCCTTTTTACTAAAGATATATTCTAGAAACTATAATCCAACTGGATTTTTGTTTTAATTAAAAATAATTTTTATATATAAAAAAAAAAAAAAAAAAAAAAAAAAATTGTGTTAAAAATATATATTAAGTCAAGGTTTAGGACTCCAGTATCTTCAGATAAATGCTGAACCCAAACTAAATCTAAAACTGCTGAATACGGCCTCTTTAACTTTGCGCTACTCCATTGAGGTTCTTTGTGGACAACCCAGGCTTCCGACCATTTTATGTTGTGGTACTTGGACCATACATGATCTGCAATGCCCGACTTTATTGTTTCACCTCATTGCGTATGTTATTTATGTTCGTCATCTAGAGGACGTTTCCAATATACAACTCAATATTCGTCTCTCCAATATACAACTCATGGCACTGGCAAATCAAATAAATAAAAACAATGGAAGTCAGAAATTATTTTAGTTTCAATACTGAACCATTGTCTACCATTCAAAGTAACATAAGAAAAATATAGCTAAGGATTAATAAAGCTACATTCACTACAGTTTTAACAATTTTTCGGATATAGTGTTTTAATCAAAATTTAGTAAATAAGAAATAGAGTGGCAATAATGCTTGAAATGAAAATAGTGTACCATATGCAGCATTTTATGATGAATCCAATTGTGAGAAAATGGGGGAGGAAGTGCAATTTAAAAACTTAAAAAACATTATCATATCTTTTTTTTGAGACACCACATACAACAAAATATTTATAGGATATGCACCATTATAAATCATGCAACGTCTGTATAAAACTTGTTTTATCTCGTTGACAACGACGATATTGGACTTTCTCGCACTAATGGGCCACTCTGTACATGCAAAAACAGTATGCACAGAGATACTGATCCTATCACTGATTAAAAAATAGGTGTAATATGATAAAAGTTTTGTAGTATATGACCGAAAAAGACCGGTGTTAGCTGGCTATGAAATGAAGATTGCTGCCATTTTATATGAGGTATACGATTAATGTCAACCACGTTCATCTCCGGCTTCAACTGGGCGCCGTTTAACTTGATCGTCTGATTATTACCAAATGTTTGACTTACACAAAATGTTCATTAAAAAATTGGCTTAGGTTGTATCCACAGAATATTTAGTTTGAGTAATACAAGATATCATCAAAATCTCATTCTGGTGCGTTCTAGGATTTCGATAATGACGAAAGTTTAAAGCGGACACAACTAATGGCGGTCTTTCTAACTGTTCATCGACTTTAACAATATTTTTTACTACACAATTTACTTCAAACTTGCACCAACTCAGTGGGTTATTGTTTAGTTCAGGATTACGAACATCTAACCAGCAGGGACCATACTTTATTTTAACTGAGAAATTATACAAATACTGTTATTTTCAAAAATCTTCCAAAAGTCTTGGGTGATGCTGGAAGTTTTTCTATTTCAATTTCAGGATATCTAGCCTAAGGGTAATAAAGTGGTAAAAACATTATAGACAACAAAATCCATACTCGAACTCACAGGATACAAAACTTCTAAATAATCAGATTCTCGGGGTACTGAAGGATCAAAAGCATATTTCTTTTGGACAAAATTTGGTTGAATAATGCATTTTCATCGGATTAGAAATTAAAGATTTAAATTCTTCGTAAACATCTAAATATTTAGCGAGTATTGGTTTGATTACCCTCATCATCCAACAACTTCATAAAAATCTTAGAATTAGACCCTGTTCACACTGAGCGGCTTAAATTCGACGCGGCATCGACTCGATACAGTGTACTTTCATTAAAAGCGACTTCACGACGCAATGTTTGTTAGCATCTGACAGATTGACATGCACACTTAGTCGTTAACTCTATTCTAATCTGCATAAAGACCAGACTTTCTAAGGGGCGCCGCGTCGGTCGTTTGGTTTAAACGATGGTATAAAATACAGTGTGAATAAGTGAATACTTATTATTTAAATACATGGGCTGACAAACACTAAGTATATTGGTTTTTGGCTAAATACCCAAGGTCTTACACTCAGGATAAACCTAAGGGGTCTAGAGTTTAGACCGATTGCAGTAAAGGTATAAAACATCCCAAAAGGGAAGGGAGAAAACATCCCTTTCTGCCGAGGAGCAAGGGGAAGGACATCACCTGCTGAGCTTTATCCAGGCTCAGAACTCAACAATGTAGCGACATCGAGTTGGCGAGGGAGGAAGAACATATCCTCGCAATAGGAATTGACCTCGAATCCAAGGAGGTAATAGAGAAAGAAGGATAAATTCTCTATTATAGATTCAGGACAACACCAGTATCAGGTCTAAGGAGAGATTAAGTTAAAGAGGTGGAAAATGGAGATAAGATCCTCCAGCCTTCACCTCACAGGTACCTCAGCCAGAGACAAACCTCAACTGTGGCACCCTTCCACTTTATATCTTTAGAGGACGAACATCTGTTGTCAGAGGAGGATGGGAAACAGCCTGTCTCCTCTACAACAGGAAAATCTTCATGTATGATGAGTTATAGGCTGTATGATGACTCAAGGAAAGAGGACACAATATATCTGTAAGGTCATGGTGATTAATCCCCCCCTCCACTCATTCTATATTCTACCCGGTATACAGAGAAGACCAGCCTACTAGTAACATAGAAAGTTGCCGTACGAATTTACGTTTACCCGATTTGTACTCGAGATTCACTGCCGGCTAGTCTGCTGGTCAGGCAATACGCAGTTGCAGTTGAGCTTGGACGGGTCGGTCGTGACAGACTGAAGATAGGTGCAGAGTATTATTATTTTTCATTTAATTTTTTTTTTTTTTTTTTACATTTAAAATAAAAATACTTAAATATTTATTAGTTGAGCGTGTTTAAAGCCAAAACTAAAATAAATAAATTCTCTAAGCCAAAAAGCAACTAAAATATTACCTAAATAAAAAAAAGTTATAACAAGTGTTCAAAAGACCACCTTCTTGTACTAGACAGAAGCCTGGGCGGTCGTAAAATCCCAAATCTGACATTGGCTTGGTTGTGATATTAGGGTTAATAGTTTGGAAAGCCTCTCGTATTTTTTACTTGAAGCTCATCCAGATTAGTAGCCCTATTAATTACACACTTTAATTTTACATAACCCACAAAGAAATCATTGGGAGAAAGATCTGGTGACCTAGCGGGCCACAAAATGGTTCCATATCCACCACCATCAATCCTGATAATTTAGATATTTAAGTGAAATTACATATATGTAAAAAAAAAAAAAAAAAAAAAAAAAAAAAAAAAAAAAATATTATCATTATTATTATTATACTAATTAAACGGTTGGGAAAATGTGTTTAAAATAATTTCTTAGCGAACAACACGGGCATTGTGGGCAGGGCAACCACCTCAGCAATATGATTACTTGAAAACGTGGGATTTTAATCCGCAGTAGCACAAATGAACACTTGCTTTAACTCCTGTTCTTCATTAATCAACACATCAGGATTTTTATGTTTTTGTGGGGACACGCACCCATGTGTTTCAAAATTAATAACTCACTTGATATAGTAGGTAAAGATGGAATTGGCCTGTTTACAAAGTTTGTGGAAAAAATTATTTGTATATCCCGATAAGACCTATTTTGGAAATACCATTTTGCAATTTGAATTTTCTCACAATTTTCTCTAAACAATAAATTTTACACGAGAAGTGTCGCAAAAATCTATGTATTCGTTTTGGCTATTAAAACACGAATAAATACAAATTCTGAAACGTTCTTATCACACATGTCTACCTATTTTATTTTATCGCATTTTTTCGCCTGCTTTTTTTCCGGTGGAGGGGTATATGCTAATTCGTCCGGTTTTTGCCTATGTTACTACTACGGTGGTCCGGTCTGTATACCCAGTGTGTAAATGTAGAGGAATTGAATTTGTGTAAATACCAATAATACCATTCTACCCGGTATATACTCAAGTATACTTACTTTGTTAATTCACAGGCACTCCAACGAACTTTAACAATTTGTTGTTAAATTCAACATTAAAGAAACATCTAAGAATAAATTGTCAGAAAACCTGTCATCAAAGAATGTACAGAGACTGCACAAGTAGCCAATAAATTCTATCAAAAACTACAATTTGCATGATGATGGAATTTATATGGATACTCTATAAGGGGATTCTCCGACGACCGCATAGTAAATACTCATTATAATACCAGGAATATACCAGTATATATCGCGAATATATCTACAATATTCCTCAATGGGTATCCTACTCCGTCAGGTATATACATCAATATATATAATTATTATATACCAGATTTTATTTATCTATCAGGTGTCGAGTCAGTAAACCAACGCCGTTTGAAATCGCGCCGCCCCACAGAGGGGATTTTTTCCAAATTCGTGGCCAAAATGATTTTTGTAGCATAAACTTACTATTTCTTTTCGAAGCTAGAATTTACATTAAAAGTGAGTCATATTTACTAAGAAAATGTTTATTATACATTTTGATGCTATACAGGGTAAAAATTGCAAAGTTCGAAACAGAGGTAATATTAATTATTAAATATTCTGAATTTTTTTAAATAATTAGAAAACATGTATTTTTTAAATTGTTCTTATGTTTTTCATTTTCATTGCATATGAATTTTAAGGGAGTGATACAACCCCTAAAATATGTTTTTATTTAAAAAAATGGTTAATGTTGCAGAAAAATGGTTGAACACGTATTTTCTATCGCTTTTCACCAAAATCAATAGTTTTTTAAATAAAAATTATTTAGGTTCATCCCTTAAAATTTGGGTTTCGAAAAATCCTACTTATTGAACCTAGAGGTTACCTACACCTAACAATCTATACGTAAGCCAAAATTCAGCTTTTTACTCCCATTGGTTTCAGCTTGATGAAAAGGGGTTTGTATTCACCCCCTATGGAACAATCGTTGTGGAAAAAATATCTTCGGCCAATAAAAACAAAAATAAAAAATACGTGTTCAAGCATTTTGTCGTGAAACCAGTGGTTTCTTAAATAAAAAATATTTCAATATTGAAAGGGTGGTTACAACCCTTTAAATTCAAGTTTTATAAAATTCTTATTGCTCGCCTACTTTGTATAAGAAACCTTTGTGCAAAATTTTGAGTCTCTAGACCCAGAGGTTTAAGCTGTGCATTGATATGTACCTATAATAAAATCCACTTTGAAGTCACTTTCACAGAACTTTTTTTTTAAGTGTCCATTAACTAAAGGACAATTAAATTTAAAGGTGCCATTTATTTGACGTGACGTACAGGTAATCAGTGACAATCAGTTTTAAAATGGTACTTAGAAGACCCTTAACCTAACGGTCCCTTAAAAAGGTACAGTACATTAGTGAGACAGTTTATTCTATTATATAAGTAGATTTCACATTACGTTTAGAGCCCAAAATCTGTTATTTCGAACAGATTAGGAAAAACTAGCAGTCAGTTTTAACACAGTTAATAAGATTAAGCATTGATAAATAAGACAGTGAAAAGCATTGAGCTTAATACGCATTAATAGTGTACCAAATGCTTAACGGAATGAACGCTTAATTTTTTTCTTTTTCATTTTGAACAATAGAAAACAAAACCAATACAAGTTTATATATGCATTTTTTAAAATACTACTAAGTAAAATAGTATATTCTACATACATGAAGGTACACAATCCACGTTTCACTTTTCGCAAAAAATTATTGGAAACACAATAAAACCAAACGTCATTGTAACGAAAATTTAGAAGTAATGACAGCCAGCACTTGCGCATAGGTCTCGCCAAGGCTAACTTTGGATCAACGTAACTAGAGAATACGGTGAAATTTATAAATAATTGTTTTTTTTTTTTTTTTTTACTCTCTTTAATTTCAAATATTAATTATGAGAATATTGCTCATTTCAAATTTTAAATTTTGGCCACGAATTTGGAAAAAATCCCCTCTGTGCGCTCGCCCGCGCCCTGTGAATATCGTCCAATTAAATTGTACAGAACTATCCGTCGAAGCCGCCGCCGCGTGTTGAAAATAATCCCCTCACTATGAAAGGATCTTATAAGTAGAAAAAAGATGTAAAAATGTGAAAATAAATTCTTACGCATGGTGGTAGAAGAAAAATTTGTCGGTATATGTTTTTTACCGCTACACAACAACTAACATATTGTTTTAATTTACTACAATATGTTTTTCCAAATAAGAAAACGGATCCTTTTTGGTTTTCTGGATCTTCATATGCATCCCACCAATAGAAACGAAAAACCTAAAATTTTTATAAAAAAAAAGCCAAAAACCACACACCTTTTACACGAAAGAATTAAAACAAATTTATAGATATACAGGGTGGTCGAACTGTATTCCGGAAACTTCGACAGCATATTCTGCAGATAAAAATAAGTAAAAAAAGTTATAAATGTATCCTAAAATGCTTAATTTCGGAAATACAGGGTGTAAGTTTAATTTTATTTCGATTTTCCAAATAATTTCTGAAGTAACGTCATTATTTTGATGAAAATAAGTGTCTAGAAGTTTTGGCATGAAATTTGATTTTGATGTCAAATGACTCTATTTGTAGGGGCGCTACCTACGTAATGTTTAACTATTTTTTTAAGAGTAATAACTTTTCGTCCGTACCTGTATAAAACTACCGAGTAAAAAAATATACATTTTACGACGTTTTTGTCAAAAAAGGTCTCTTAGTAAAAATCGCTACGGTAATAGTTTTTCAAGATATTTGGAATGTCGAAATTATAAATTACCTGTCATTGACATAAATTAAATATGTTGACTAAATAGTTATTTAGATTGAAATCATAAATTTGAAATGTTTTTGTGCCAAAGGTTTAATAGAAACTGTTTATCATCATTTTTTGCAGAAA